GTTTAAATTTTCCTACTAAATTGACCAACCTGTTTCTCAACTGCAAAATTGTTTTTGGGTTTGATTCGTCGATGAATACGAAATCCTCAATATCACCTCTTAAATTCTCAAAAAAAGAGATCATTAGTTTAAAAATAACGATATGATACAAGATTGACCGAACTTTCCACGAAAAAGTTTGTTTTTTTATGAAACACAGTAATTTTTGCAAGTCTGTGTCGAATATCGATTCCTGCAATTCTAAAATGTGATTAAAGTTTTTTAAATTTAAAGAAAAACTACAATCCTCAAAATCTGACGAGAACAACGTTGTTAATATGTACAAACGTCCAGAAAAACATTTAAGTTTTGAGTTTATTTCTTGTATTTCGTCATCATTAATAAAAAAGTCGATTGGGTTACGAAAATCCAACAACAGTGAATCTGTAACTAAACCTTTGTTAGATACCTCAAAGCCGGCATATAATAATATTTCTCGTTTTGAGAAGTTATCTAAGACTACGGTCATGATTATTGTATTGCACCTTACGTCAAAAAATTAGTATTGGAATACTTTTGGGATATTTCTAATCGGAATTTTGGAAAACTTTAAACGCCATGTAATGTTATGTAAACAGTATTAATCGTAAAGTCTTATACCATGCTCCCTCTTCACAGCTCTTTTCTGGTTGAGGTTTAAAGCATGGCTGTGTCGTTTCGCACCATGCTCACTTCTATAATCATAATATATCGAGTTTGAGTTTCTATTGTTGTTTTCTTTCGTAATGAATTGACTTAAGACTTCAGAAATATTTTTTTCAATTGTAGTTGACAGTAACATAAGAAACTTTTTAGATGTTATAGTTCGCCACTTATTGTAGTTTTCTTCCTCTATATGTTTTTCCTTAATCAATTGAATTATAATTTTGTGATCAAATGTTTTTGATAAAAGTTCTCTAAACGCTTTTTTAAGTTGTAAAACTAACAGACTTTCTATACTAAATTGTTTTTTCGGGTTTAGTTCTTTTTTTAACAAGCCCGGACAGCTGTTTTCATGAATGCAAAGTTCAAATTCAGTATCTAATAAATAATTTTTTGGGCATGATAAACTATCAACTATGGGCATTTCTTTCATACACACTTTTTGCACATGTTTCATTTTACCGTGCTCAGAAATAACGTCAGTTATGAGACTAAACTCATTTGGGCATTCAATGATGGCTTCTGCATAGTCGTTTGGTTTGCAAGTCATATCTGACAAAACTACATAGTTTTTCGAACAGATATAAAATGGATTTTTTTGATCCACGTTAACACAATGTATACTTATTAAATTCTGCTTAAGTAGCACATAAGTGAAAATTGATTCAAACAATGGTTTCATTTGAGGAAAAAACATTTTCAAATATACTTTGTAACGAAAAATGTTCTTCTCTGACCGTAGCTTATTATAGTTAGAATTGGCAAGCAAACTGTTTACATCCGATATAAATTTTTCATAAAACTCTTTCCCATTAAATTTGTAATATATTTGATAAGCTTCAGCTAGGAAAACAGGGTTAAAAGCAGAAATTTCAAACAATTCTTTCGATACATTTAATTGAACATAAATGTCATCTGTTAAATTTTTACAATAAAACTGATATTCGTAATTAGTAGTTTCGACGCAGGTCAAGGGGTATTTATTTAAAAAATTGTTAAAGCCTGTAAACAAAGTGTTTACGTTTTTTTCTTTCCACTCAAAAACAGAGACAGAAGATTTTTTACAACTGATACTTGCTTTTTCTAGTTTTTGACGATAAATCTTAATTTTCGACTGGTTATGTTTATTTATTTTTTTCTTATCAAGATCAGCGAGCAGATTTTTATAAACTAGAAATTTTGTATCATTGTTTTCGACCATTTCAAAACCGTAAGTAAACTTTTTTGATTCCCCCACTTCAGCTATATATATATTAACAGGTTGTTCCAACACTAGTTTTTCTGAGACGCATACATCTTTTTTTTCAATATAATCTCTAACGAGTTTATGCGTATTACAATCTATTTTAGGTTCAATTTGTTTGGTACCTAGACATTTTGAGTTTTTTTCTCGTTCATCAGTTCGGCAGCCGAAGAAAGTTTTATCGAATTTCCAAAGCTCACATTTAGAGTTAACCAACTTATATTCGGGGTCACATGCCAAGACTTGGGGTTTAGTGACTACTTTTTTGCATTCTCCATGACGAGAATTTGACCATTTGTATTCGTGTGGACAATAATAATTTGGTGGTAAATATGTCGTCTCAGTATGAGAACAGATTTGGTTTCCTATTTTTGATTGTTGGTCACAATTCAGATTTGCTGTAAAAAAAACATCAAACCTGCTTCGTTTTACATTCTCTATAAAGCAGTCATGAAAATTATGAACACTGTCGACTCTAAAGCTATTTATTGCTGTTTCAGCGCTCACAAACAAAAGAACAGCGAAAAAATACATAAATAGATGCAAACATATAAATTAAATTCATACACACAAACTTAAACTGGGTATTAGAACGGGAATTCTAAATTACTAAAGAAAATAAATCGTTGAGCTAGTCTTTTTCTTAGCATCAAAATTTCTTCTAGTGAAAGTAAACAAACTACAAAATGTTTAGGACAAAAATACTTACCAATTCCAATTTGATCATTTTTATTGCTCAACGCTGAAACTGGAGACAACATTGATTTTTTAATTAAAGGTGTTAAATTAGTCTTGATTTTGGGATTCGAGTTTTGCCGACTCAACGCATCTTCAGCGTGGAGCTTAACCATATTAAGAGACTTTAACGTCGACAAATGTTCTCGTACTTTAACTAAACTTTCAGAAATTTTTCGAGAATCCTCGCAAAAGTCGCGGTAAACGCGCAGCAATTGCGGCTCTCGAATCATTGAATTTACGTCGTCACTTGAAACCGCCACATAAAAAATGGCTCCTAGGAGAATGTGAACCTCAGTAGGAAGTTTTTCAATTGCGTTCAAGTAATTTTCAATTTTCGAATTAAGTAATTTATTAAATATAGACTTCATAACGTCGAGTCCATCTACAGTTGCCTCAGTAGAAACATTAGAGTCTGAGACAAGTTCGGAATGACAGAACAAATAAGTTAGCATTTCACGGCAATCCCCACTCTGCTTAGCTATTTTCCTAAGCCCAAGCTCATGGGACGAACCTTTAATAATTTCGATTCCGTAGAAGTCCGCAAGTGTCGTTAGCGCTGAAAACGAATAAGAGTCAAATTTAATTGTATTTAATTTGTACTTAAACGCTCCATGTTCGTGTTTAATATTTAAATCTAACGTGGTTTTAATTCTTTCCATATTCTCAGTCAGTTTATTGCAAAGCTCATCACTGTTCGAAACTAGAATTAATACCATTTTAGGAAAATACTGCACAACAGATGAGAGTATTACGTTAGCAACCGTATTGTTGATCTTATTTTTTAATTTTGATAATGTATACACGTTTTGTGAAAATAAGCCGTCGAACTCGTCTATGACCAAAACACAATCTTCGCCATTATTTAAATAACTACTAATTTTTTTTAGTGCTTTACATCTCGAGCGCAGATCGCGTTTATCTTTGCGTTCGGCTTTTAGACAAGATAATTGTTTACCGATTTCATTAGGAAGGACGTTGGAAAACGAATCAAGTAACAGCTTGATAAAAACATCTAGCAGCTGCTCTATCTTGGCAATTTTTTTATTCAAACAAAAATCGTTCACGTCTGAATAAGCATAAAAACGAAATCTTTTTGATACTTCAAAATGTACGAAACTGGTTTTCCCGGTTCCAGGAGGTCCGAGAAAAGTTAATAGTTCAAAATGTGATCCGTCGATAGAAGAGATTGCTTGTTCAAACTCTTTTATGTAGCGCGCGTGAACATTGGGTAAGTAGTTGCGAAAAAACTTGTCTTGTTCATTTATACGTTGCTTGTTACTCACATCCACTTCATCAATTACTTCTTGCATGGAAACTTATTTCATCTACATGAATTCACGCTTGTTTAAATTAATTTTAAAGAAAACATCACATGATCAGCTGAGATACTAAACCTTTAATATACTAATATTGCGTCAGCTCTATACAAATTAATTTACTGCAAAATATTTATTTATTTTGCATTAATGATAAACGAGTGTATAAATAAATTTCATAATATAAAGTATTCACATTTTCTGTAAAAAAACAAGAGTTTTAGCATAAAACGAATTTTTACATTGTATATAAATTGTCATTAGGCATAAATAACCCCACGTGAAAAAGTATAAAATTCAATAAAGTTTTAAATGTTTTTGTCTCAGTTCTTAAATAAAGAAAATCTTAGGATATTAAAAGGCTGAAAAATGGTTAAGTATTCCTGCGAAGTAACTGAAAACGTCGAAAAGACTGTTTGTGCCCGAGGAAATCAACTCAAAGCTTCATTCAAAAATACTCACCAAACAGGAGCTGCTATTAGAGGAAAACAACTCCTCGAAGCCAAAGCTTATTTGCAAGCTGTTTTAGAAAAAAAAAGATGCATCCCGTTTACTCGATACAACACTGGTGTAGGACGCACCGCGCAAGCAAAAGAATTCAAACTTAGCCAGGGCCGATGGCCTACGAAATCCGTCAAACTCTTTCTCGATTTAATTCAAAACCTTGAATCCAACGCTAAAGCAAAGGGCCTAAATGCTGACGACTTAATATTATCACATGTTGCTGTTCAACGCGCTATTTGCAGACGCCGCAGAACTTTCCGAGCTCACGGTAGAATTAGTCCATACATGTCTCATCCTTGTCATGTTGAAATTATTTGCAAGCCTAAGGTTATTGCTGTTCCCAGAGCATCTGATGAAACTCATCAAGATGTTAAACTTAGCAGGGCAGCAAACAAAGTTAGAAGATTAAAAATAGCTCATTAATTTTGTTTAATTATATAACTTACATGTTTAACTTTTTTACTTTTATATCTAGTTATAAATCACAACTAATGATTAAATAATGACTTTGTAAATGCTCATTGTTGATTTCCGAAAAGCAAATTGCTAGATTTATTTCTGATCCAGCGTAGCGCTTCACCTATGGCGTCAACTCCATAAAACTTTTTTATAGGAATAAATTGTTTATTAGTTGATGCGCTAACTGGCTGTTTTAAAAACGTGCTTGACAAATCATCGTTTTTTGATGTTAATTTAGTATTCTGTGACGTGATTTTTTCTACTGCCATTGTTGTATTCGGATTTGGTAAATCTTTCACTTGTTCTGACACCTTATCGGTCGTTAAATTTTCTTTTTGAACCTGCCCTGTAGGGTTAGCATCTTTTAAATAAAAACTATAACTAGCGTCTGCATTTAATGTTTTACTTTCGTCGTTTACAAGTCTATAGCAAGATCCGACGTTTTCGTCAAATTCACCATCAAGACAAGAAATTAATGGCTTAGATACTAGCACTTTGCTGCAAGTATTATTATACTGATTGAATACATAACCATTATCACACAAATAAACAGCTTGGATTTTATTCGATACTAAACAACCCGCATTAGTAAGTGCACCATCTTTACATACTTTGAGACTTGGAACAACTTCTTTATAAATGCATTGCGAATTAACTAATACAAATGGCTCTAAACATGAAGGAACACCAGGTGCTTGAATTATTCCTTTGCAGACATCATCTATCAATTGCATGTTTTCATTACATACAGGAGTAACCTCCATGGAAACTTTGATTTCACATAAATTGGATTTTAGTAATATTGAGCCTGAGGGACAGCTCGTTTTTGGTTCCATAACTACTCTATTAACGCATTTGTTTGTTTGAGGATCCAGAGTTCCTTGCTTACATGTCAATGTCTGGGGCGTTTCTTTTTCTAGCATACACATCTTTACATCTGAATTATATACGTGTTTTATTGGGCATTTTATTATCGCTGATTTCTGTTCAACAACTTCACACGTATGATTTCCTTCAATGTAATTTCCGCTAGTGCATCGTTCAAAAGGCGGATAATATTTGTACCCTATACATCTTCCGTTAACTAAATTTCGTTCTGGGCTGCAAACTAAAGTGGGTGCAACACTAGTTAATCGTTCACATTCAAGTGATGATATAAGTCTATAATTAGGAGGACATTGTTGAGTGTTTAGTGAAACACATTTTTCGTTACTTCTTGGATTATCACAAATAGGAAGAGCACTTACAATTTCGGACGTTTCACATTTACCGTTGATTAATTTGCTGCCCGCAGAACAAACTAAACCTGGTTCTTCACTAATTTGTTCGACGCATTTATCTTGTACTAACTTCGCGTTATTTTCACAAACCTTCGATGGTTTTTGATGATAAACTTTAAGGCAAATATCATTCTTCAGTGCAGATCCAGATTCGCACTCTAATTTTGGTCTGATGTAAACGACTTGCTTACATGATCCATCTACTAATTCATATGGTTTTTCACAATGTACTTCAGGTTCAAATGTCGTGATAGAATAGCATTTACCGTCTACTAAACTATATTTATTTGGACAATAAGCTTTTTGCTTGATGTAATTTTTAATGACACATCGGTTGTCAATAAGATCTCCATTTTCACATTTTTTTTCAGGTTCAGTCACGATTTTTTTTTGGCACGAGCCGTTTTCGTTTACAAAACCGTCAAAACATTCGATTTGTGTAGGAGCAATAATTATTCGAGAGCAAGTATTGTCTCGTTCTAACTGAAAACCTTCTGGACATTCCACAATAATAGGAAACAAATTTTCAAATTCACAAACATTGTTATTTAATTTGAATCCTTCAGGACACACCTCTTTGCTATTTATGAAATCGAGTCTAAAACACTCATTTCTAGATTCGTCATATTTAAAAGATTCAGGACAAACATAATTTGGCGCAAATTTCACTATTTTATTAGCACTTTTAGGTACTATTAAATCTGATGAATTAACAACCTGATTACTCAGAAGATTGTACAGTAGAATCAATGTAACATAACTTTTATTTTTCATTTTATAGGTAACTAGCCTTTATAATAAATTATTGTTATTAACTTTATAAAAATATTACAAACTAATATTGATCAAAATCGTGTTCACAAATTCGATGCGCGTAAAATTATAAAAATATTTTTATAATAATATTAAAAAAATTAAGTGATTTTGATTCGCATTGGAATGGGAGAACTCGTTTTTCAGTATTACAAGCCAATTTTATGTTCATTGCAAAAATTTAAAAAAAACACGGAATATTTAGCTGACATAAAGAAAAGAATTGATAAAGAAATGCTGTCAGCTGAAAAAGAAGTAATCGAAAGAGTAAGTTTTACAGAGAAAAAATATTTTCAGGACTTTCAAAAACAATACGAAAAATACAAAATTAACGCTGATTTGAAACGAGATCTGTTTACGTTCGAAGAACCGTTACGCAAAAAAACCGACCAGGCCATCAAGCAGTCACGCATTTAGTGGATAAAAATTTATGGATTAAGTACTACTAATTTCTCGCGCTTTTTTTTTAAAATTTTCTAGATCCTTTCTATATAATAACTGTAACAATATTTAAGCTAAAGAACTTACAGAAGCTTCAATATTTTCTGGCGAATTGGTATTTGGGTGTTTTAATAATGTATAAATAGCCAAAATAATTGTTTCTACATTAATTATTGGTCTCCAACGTTCGTTGAAGGTTTCGAATTCGTTTGTGTGATCGACACCAGGTTCATGAAGCAAGCTCATACAAACAACTCCATCTTTAGAAACTAATATTACTTTTTTAATAGAATTACTTACTGTTAGGGTGAAATATTGGAGTGATGAATTTGATTGTAGGAGGGGTATTTGGAAAACTTTCAGTGAAATTTATTTGAACAGCGAAATAAATACCTTCATAAATCGAATCTTGCGGACCATAGATCTCAAGTATCCATTCTAAGATGTTGTTATTATTTAAAGTTAAGTAATAGTCTTTATTTTCTTGGTTTTTTAAAGCTGAAGATGAGCTAAATTTATTACTTACACTTATATTCTTTGTTTAATAATATATATGCAAAACTGCTCATAGAATGGTTGAAAATAGAGTATTAAATAATAATTATGATAATTACTAAATATTCAATAAAATTGTTTATTAAAACTCCATAGTACGAATTGTTTAAAAGATTATAAAAAAAGCTTCAAAACTCAACGTAAACACCTAAAGGCAGATTAGTAACAGAAGGGCTATTAGTTCTCGTTCTTATCATTATCGAAGGATTTCTGTACGGGATTAAACGATTTTTTAGCCTAAATGACGGTGGCAGCGTACTGTAACTCATCAGTTCCTTTGCAATTAATAAATTAGTATTTTTTACCTTGTCTTTTTTTGGTGTATTGTTTTTTAAATTAGATATTCCAATTGTAAGAATGTCAGGCTGCACTCCATTTTGGAATATCAAATTTAAATCATCAGGATTAAGAGCTAAACAGTGATAAAAGTTTAAGATTGATATAAGTTTTTTGAACATAGCACTTTTTTATTGCTTTTATAATTATAACACGTTTATTACAAAAAAACTTGGCAATTTCTTATTAGCATAAGCTTTTGCAACGAGAGACTATGCAAAATTAAAAACGATATAAGAAAATATCTATTTTAAATTTACTAATATAGCATTTCTGGTGAAAGTTCTAAAATTGGAACTTTTGGAAAAAGTACTTTATTTTTTTTATGGTTTTTAATATTGATCAAATCATCAACACATCGCATTTGCGAAACAATAAATAAAAAGTATAGAAACCACATACGAGAATCGATATATTCTAGGAACTTTTCATCAAACGTCGAAAGTTCAAACAAACTACTGCATATTAAATAAATCAAATCTGTAGACAGTTCATAATACATCTGGATCCGCTTATTGTTGCTTGCATTAGTGAACTGAACGTTTTTATTAATTAAGTTAGAAGAATTAGAATTGTTGCTCAAAGTTTGTTTGCAAATTGCGCTTAATTCGCTGAAAACTTCGTCTCGATTTTTGTAGTCTATATCATTCTCGCCAACAACTTTATCGATATAATCTTTGAGATTTAAAAAGTTTAATACTGTTTCTTCTTTTTGGACATTAGAAGGATGTAAAAACTGCACAAATATAACAGCAAACCCGAAACAAACATATAACAAAGAATCGTATAAAGAAATCATGATGTTTTGGTCGTGATTAGAAATGAGCTTAGAAGAAAGATGATAATTCACTATAGTAGAAACGGCGGCCAACGTCGAGTTCACGCACGGGAAGTCTACCAAGCCAGTTTTGTCAAAGTAAAACATTTTAACAAATAATTTCGAAACTTGAGGAAAAATAGATGGAAATAAGTTTAACGTTAGATTTTTTGAGAAATTAAACAAAATAAAGCTACAAAGCCTTAACATTTCAACGTAATCAATATCTAGACTTGATAAATTTCTTTCACTCACAAACCTAATTAGGTTTTCCAGTAAACGCAGCTCGACGAATTCATAAATAGGATGTAATTTTTTATTTTCACTTATTGAAACTGAATACAAAAAATTGTACAAGTTGCTAAAACTTTTAGGAATTTTTTTATTATTAGGCTGTATGTATAATAATTCTTGTATTGTATCTATGGTAGAACTATAAATTTGGAATAATTTATATACGATATTAATTTGTTTTACTTTTTTGTTTTTATCTTCTAAACGTGCTAGTTCCTCAAAATCTTTAGTGTCGTTGATTTCTTTTATTGTTTCGTAAATACTCCCGTTTTCAAAAACATGTTTCATATAGATGTTAAACAAACTTAAAAGTTCGTTTAAGAAATTTTCAGTGTTGCTCAACAGTTCGCGAGAAGTAATGTTGGTAACTTGGCGTATAACAGGGTGAAGATTTAAGTGATCAACAACCTGTCCAATAGACATGAGTTTTTTATGCTTGGGTCTACCCACAGGTCTTGTTACTGGAGCGAGCGGGATGGGTGCATTGAGATTGTTAATTATTAGCGAACTCTGAGGTTTTATTTTTGGAATTTTTTTGGTATTATCTAAAATGCATAATATTCTAGCAATTCTGTACCAGACAGCAAAACACTGGATTACAAGCGTTGTAGCTATTATATAGCGAGAATCGTCAATTGTTTTTTCAAAAAAGTGATCTGGCTGCAGATTTTCATACTCTTCTTTCAAAAGTGAAATCAAACTCGTAGCAAACCCGCACAAAATTTTCATTAATTCAGCATCTGTGACCCAAGAAGTTTTAGCAAGTTTATGTTTAGCGGTTTTAGTCATATTAATCGGGATGCATAGTATGAGTTGTTCGAATCGTTCAGAAATGGCGTCATAAATAATTTGTAAGGCACAGACCGAAAGATCAAAATTTTCTTTATTTACATTATTTAAAACATAAGACAAGCCGATAAAATCATAAGGGACCTTCTTAATTAACTCAGACTGATTTAAATAAGCTGCTTCGAGTCTGATTACGTTTTCATCGTTTTCTACACTTGATAATATTGTGTCTGGTGGAAAAGCTTGGGAGGTCAGATTTGTCTTTTTCAAACCACCAATCTGAGAAGCAGCATTAAAATTATTTTGTTTATATAAAACGTTTTCAGAGGGAAAAGAGGTGTTCATCATGGGATCTAAAGCAAAGTTTTTTTTGTTAGGATATGGCATATTGGGGTGTAGAAAATTCATGCCAGGATAATTGTCAAATTCGTCTCTTCTGATCGATTCATGATTAATTGGTCCTTGATTATTAGGCATCGAATTATAGTAATACGGCTGATTAGGAACACCCTCCATTCTCAATTCGTTTGACTGGTTAATATTATTTTGATAGCTTTTATGTTGTTCATTCGGAAAATTTACATAATTGAATTGAGCTTGAATATTGGAGCCATCCATGCCTGACATGAACTCCATATTTTGATCAGTTTGTATTCTCGAAAGGCCAGACGTAGTAACCTGCTCCAGAGGCGCGAACGACTTGTTGTGATTTTGATCATTATAATTATTATTCACATTACATGAAGCCACTAATTTATCCATTCTTCTCAAAGAGAAACACTATAAACTTTAATGGACAATTCTTAATTTAATTGTTTAAATGCACTTTGATTATTTTGATAATTGATTTAAAACCTTAGTATTATTGTAATACAATCAGATATAACATGTGGAATTTTGTCTAAAAATAATTTACTATTGTTATTATCAGGATTTTGAATAATTTTAAAATAATTTACACTATTAAATTTTCGCCCACATTTTTCTAAGTTGGCAAATATGTAAGAAAAACTCGGTTAACCGGGCAATAGTGTGATTTAAATCTTTTTTCACTAGACACATTTATCGTGTATATATATATATATATGTGTCGTCGCTCAAATCAATATAATTTATTCAGCGCATGTTGATTTTTATTAATAACAATACGTAGCTATGACTAATGTTTTGACAAATCCAAATATTATTGATTCTCTTTATGAACCTATAAACGAGAGTGATGTTAAAATCCACCACTATTACATTCCTTTCTGGAACAGATTTGACAATTTAATTTATGTAAGTTCTAGTGACACATTAACCCCTTAGACACGAATAATGTCTGAAGAAGACCTGCTCTACAACAACACCCCCATTTCAAAGGCAAGCACCAAACTCGGATATTACACCTACTACCCGGAAGATGTAATTGAATCTACGCCCGAACAAAGAGCTTTAGCTGAATTAAACTTATGCACCCATTATAGTCTACATATACATAACGATGACGGCCACAAAAAAAAAATCGTAACCGGTAAGAATAAGCAAAAACGCCACAATCGTAATAAGTAAATAACTTGGCTTTTTATCTTTATCTTCGAAAAAATTAGTTAAATACTATTATCAAATATTTTTCAATAAATAAGTAAATCATTTATCATGAATGAAGAAAGCATCGAAGATTTACAAAGATCCAATGCAATAAAACGAGTGCTTGATCATGTAAACTCTTTTCAAAAAGAACTTGAAAATAATCTGTCAAAATTTAAAATAAACGTAGCAAATTTTGACGGCTCGATCAATTCCAAAAAAAAGTTCCAAAATCTTATAGATTTACTTGATAGATCGTCCAAGCCTTTTTTGAATCAGCTAAATGAACTAATGATAGAACAAAAAAAAACGCCTGGATCAGCAAATGATGAAAGAAGAACAGCGAGTGACGCTTATTTAAACTCGAAAACTAATTTAACTACATTAAGACTACACAATTACTTAAATGATATATTGGGCATTGGCGTTCAAGTTAAAATCGAGGAAGATATAAAAAAAGGAGCGGCAGTTTTAGCCTGGTATAGTCGTAAACTATGTGAAACAGATAATTTGAGAAATTTAGAAAACACATTTTTCGTTTCGATGATGTGCAAAATTGATAACAATTTATATATTGTCGCGATTGAAGCTAATTATACGTTTATTTATGAATTCATATATAACAATGGGTATTTTTTAAAAAATATTTACAACGTTGGGTTTCACGAAATTTCAGCACTATTCAGTTCAAACGATTCTGAATACGACATAATACTTGGAACAGTTACTGGAGAAATATTTATTTATAAAATAGTAAACACCAATGTAATATGTCGCCGTGCGGATACAAAGTCTATCAAAAAAATCATCTTTATACGTAAAGATGAATTTGGTAACATAATAATTACAAATGAAAAAGGGCTGGAATACATGTTAAAATTCAATGAAACCGAAATAAGTGTGAAGATCCTTCATTCCTTACAATTGCCAGAAGACGATGCCATTGTTGAAGAAAGTCAAACAAAAGAAGGAGTGCTGTTTCTGACTTTAAATGGTAGTTTATATTTGAAACGAAATATTGAAAAACAAATGTCAGCGTTTAAATTGCGTTATTCTTTGAGTTTTACAAACAAATTTAAACAAATCCACTTTAAAGATAAGGATGATATGAATTGTGTCGAAAATTGCCAAGATGCTGAAGTATTTGATGTATTTTCTTCTCTACCAACGCGGAATAAAGTAAATAAGCAAAGGGAAGTCAAACACTGGAACAATTTTGTAGCGAGTAAAATTAATCAGAACTATGACCAATCTGTTTTAATCTTTTTAATAAAAAAGACCGGCTTAATAATAGCGACGGAAGATGGCGACGCTAAAGTTTTGTTTCATAAAGCATTGCTAACTGTGTCATGTCTAGATTTCAGTTCTACCCAAAGGTTTAAACTTGTAACAGCTAATTCAGATGGAAAGATATTGTTATGGGACTTGGAAAAATCGTTGTACGAGCCTATTATGCATTATCAGCACCGATCTGCAGTTGTCGACGTAAAATTCAGTTCCGATGATTGCCGAGTCATTATATTGGATAAAGAAAACAAAATTGTTTTTTTGCCTGTGGCATCGTTCGAAGAGTTTTGATTAGTTTTCAGTTAAAAACTTGTAATTTATGTTCATAAAATTTATTATATGGTGTGCTTTTTCAGTACTAACATTTTTAACCTGAACTAAATCTTCAAAGCTTGCAGTTAAAACATTTCGAAGTGTTTTAAACCAAATTAAAAGATTTTTAGCGTCTTCTTTGGTGATTGAGTCGATGCTAGTGAAAATTTCTACGCAAATGTCAAACACAGACAGTTTAGTTATTTTTGGCACCTGGATTTCAGCTATAATGTTCTTGAGATATAGATAAGTATGTTGTGTCGATGTAGAAATCAATAGACAAAAATGAAGAAAAGTACATTTGACTTGAAACTCGTCGAGATGCAAGAGCTGCTCAATGTTGTTCAGTTCAAGTATACAAAAAGTTGCTAAATTTTTTTTTTTTACGCTTGATGGCAACAGGTCTGCGATCTTCGTCAACTTATTTGTAGCAATAAAATAATAAACAATAAATTTCGGTGTTAAAATAAAAGCATCGTCTTCAAGTAAGCAAAAATCGATGTCGTAGTCATCTCTATCGATATTTCAATAAGGAAACATACTTTTGCAAATAACTTATTATGCTTAGATTTTGAAAAAACTCAGAAATACGCAACGGGTTAGTTTTTTTATTAGACATCGTAGAAGTGTTTAATTATGGATGAAAAGTTTTGGCAGAATTGGAGTTTTCCTTATAATTCTAAAATGCAGATTTAATTAAAAAATTAATCCTCTTCGTTTAAAACTACGTATATATTATTGATTTATGTTTAAAGAGTTGGTTAGTGATAACTTGGACAAAATAAGTGCCGTCTATATAAAGGCAATAAAAGCGCAACGAAACATAGAACGGCAGGAAAAAGATATCTTTCATTATAACCTGTCTAATACAGTTCTTTCAACGTACGAAGAGATTGAGAGTGAGTCTGATTATAACATATATAAAACAAGAAGTAAATTGTATGTTTACACAACAAAAAAAGCCGATTTGGTGAAAAGCATTATTTGGATTTCAGATAATGAAGCTTTAGTTAGGACAGAAAAATCTGAATTTAGTCTTTGTATAGATAAGACAAGAGTAATCATAGAAAAAAATTCATTTAAGGAAAATTGCGAAGCAGGAGAAACATGGATTTGCTTGGCATATGAGCCTAAAAATAAAAAACATAGATGCCGATTGTAGATAAATTTGCGTTGGGATATCGATTTATTTTACCTACTTGATTGGTGCTGTGGTGCATCTCTTGTAATAGTCCATTGAAGAAATTAAATATTTTATGTATTTTATTATATAATAAATGATAGATTATGCACGTTCCGACGATATCCCGTTGTTTTCTACGTATTTTTTCAAATGAAGTCGGTCAAAGAAAAAAAGAGAATGATTCTTTAACAAATTTTATCAATTTTACGTTCAAAGATGATCCTAAAAATTACTACTCAAGGCTGGAAAAAATCAGCATGGCTGATAACGTGGCCAAACCTATTGGTTATAATATAGCCTCTGTGAATCCAGACTATATATTGTTGGTTGAGCTAATAAATCTGACATTGTATTCTTATATTTTGGTAAATCAAGTGAAAGCGATCATTACGATAAAGATGATTATCGTTCTTAATTCTAAAACAGAAGAACAAATTAAAGTTTATGAAAAATTATATTTGATCTATGAAAAAGTTGCTTCACTTTTACAGGAAATGGCTGCAGATTTGGAGATCTGCAGACAATCTTTGTTTAAGGCTTATTCGGTTGGCTGGGGTTTAAGTGGGGTTTGTTACATACGGGACGGATTTTTATTTGAAAATCTTCCCAATCTCATGATGCTAGAACATACAGTTGAATTGGTTTCTGTGATTGCAAAAAGAATTATTTTAGGTGTCATACCATTAGAAACTAAAGCACTACAGTATTGTTATTTATTTGTAGAAAAAGTACGCAATATTGCACTAAATGAGAGAAGAAAAAGAATCAGTGAATTCATAAAGGCAAATTGTTCTGATTTTTACGATCTTAATCGTATTAGAAAAATATTTTTAAACCGACTAGATCTTATTCCTTCGAAATGCAAGGAGAACTTAAAAAGAAAAAAACTACTAACTGGAACGGCTTTATACATTGAATGTTTGGCTTCTGAAACTAACTATCAGTCAAGTTTCTTCGAAAAAATATTAGACGCACAAAAACCGAATATTCAGTCTTCTGCGTCTTTTCCCAAGAACGTCAAACCTAATAACAAAAAAATCGAGACTATAGAGATGAAAAGTGTTCTAAAAGAAATTGAAAAGCCAGATATAATTACGTCAACAAATGTTTCTGGAGCTAAAAATATTCATTCTAATAATAATAGTTCAATTTCTAACAGCAATTCAAGTTTAAAAAATGAGTCGATAAGCAATCTTCGAAGTAACAATAGTGATACACTCGAAGTTTTGGATTCATCGTCTAGGTGTATTAGTAATAATAGCATGATATTGAACGATATAAAAAATAACTTGAATAAACTAAGCACTTCGAACATACATGATGCAGAAGATCATGATGGCATGAATAATAACGTAGTATTGACTGAATCAACGTCAAATAATAATCTTTCGTCAACCGGGAGTTTATTTAATGAAATTAATAAAAATATAAGTGAGAATGTAGATGTTCAATCTTTATTATCAACTAATTTTGAAAAAGAAACAGTAAGTAACATATCAACCAGCTTAAACATAACAGAAATAAATAATCACTTAAGCTTGAAATTCAAAGAAAGTAAAGAGGAAAATACTTTTGGTTTGCGACCAAAAAAAAAAGCTAATAATCTTTTCAATAATAAACTGGATAAGTTAAATATTAAAGACGGAAATAAGAAAAAAAATCAAAGTAATCATTTTGATATTATTGATAATGATGTAAATTCAATATGTCCAACTCAAAATATAGAACTGCGTGAATTGGTGAAACGAACATCGTTTAGTTTAGAGAAGGTTAACAGTGAAATATCTACGGCAGGAAAGATTGAATTATTTGTAAATAATCTAGTAGCATTTTCTAAAAAGAGTGAATCAGCAGAAAATTTTAATATTAAGTTCGATTAAAGCTTATTGGTTATTGTTTTAAACAATCCTTTGTAAAAAAATAATCCTTAATTACGTATTATTTTTTCCTAGAGAAAAATGATTAATAACACTCGTTATGCTACCATTTCCGACGCATTATCAATACATTTATTAAACGAATTATGTTTACCAGAAAACTACACGCTAAAATATAACTTATTTTCTTGCGTGTCCTGGCCTCAGTTAGTATTTATGAGCGACAATCTAAAAGGGGAACCCGTAGGATATGCTCTTTCTAAAACGTAAGTTTGCAGTTCTAAAATTTATATCTAGAGAAAAGTCAAGTCCAGATGAATTCGAGAACCACGGGCACATAATTTCTATTGGTGTGAAATACATCGCTCAAAACTCTGCCATTGCTTGCCAGTTTATGTCACTTATTCATAATAATATGAACACCTTATTAAACATTAAAAAGTCCAATTTAAATGTTAGATGTAATAACACTAAAGCATTTAAAATGTATAATGAAAAATTTCATTATGAAATTCTGAAAACTGACCTGAATTATTATGAAGACGGCGTTGACGCTTACGTCATGGAATTAAATTTAGAAAACATTAGATAGAAAATCAAGCTTTTCCAAGAAGCGGTTAACTTCTACCAATGTGTAATTTATAATTTTATTTTTTCGTGATAGTTCCATCTTCTGTGACATTCACTATATCTAAAGCTTTGTAAAGCATGTATTTAGTTCTAATTTGAACTTGTCTGCACTAAAAACGTTTATCATTAATTAACTCACAATTGCGTGGAAATACGTTTGTAAAAACTCCTGTAACGTAAGGTCTGAATATGGCCTCAACCAAGCTAACGCCACTTGAAGTTCATCGCTTCCTACAACCGGGTTCGGCATTTATTTAAAATATTGAATTGAGAAATAAACTTGTAGCCGTTGTCTATTTAAAAAAAGAAAAAATAGAAACTATTAGTTTTATCTTAAATTATGGTATTAACCGACTAGTAGTGAATAACAAATAATTATGTTAAATAGTATACCTTCAATTTCGCGAGGCGGAACGGCTGCTAGTAGTAATTTTGACGTTTTAAATGGAGCTTTAGGTTTACGAGATAATATTGAAGGAATAGATAGCATTATCCATTTTAAAGAAGTAATAACTGCTCAAGTAACGCAATTTTTAAATACTTTTGAAGTTAAGGACGAAAATCGGCTTTCGAAACTACGTTATGCGGAATCTATTCTTGATTGTTCTAGATCAGGCTCGTTTTACCAAAGACATCTAGAAGTTTTATGCCGTAACTCAGATTTTATTGATTCATCAGTTATAGCACTAAACAAAACGTATGGTAACGCAGTTTTAAAGTTTCAGATGGAAGATTTAGCTTCATTCTTAAATGGAGACTTAAGCGAATTTGCAATTTACTTTACACCTGAAACTATTAACATTTTTGATGAAGTGTTAACTAATTACTTAAAAGAGTTATTGACTTATTGGGGGATAAGTAATACATTCTTACCGTTCAATACAATAAGGTCTGTTTTCACTGGTCAGAGCGATGTGAAGAGTATTCGAAACATTGATTCAAGTGAAGTCGAAACGTTAGTAACCGTAAAAGGTATTTGTATTAGAGTTAGTAAGATTATTCCCGAAATGCAAGTAGCGGTTTTCAAATGTGAAGGAAAAATAAACCGGGGTTATTATCCGAAAGTTTGCGAAAATGAAATTTCATCTAAGGTTATACGTGGAAATATAGAAGCGCCGCAATTTTGTGACGTTTGTCAAAATAGAAAATGTTTTACAATTTTCCACGACAAATGTGTGTTTTCAAGTAAGCAGATGCTAAAAATTCAAGAAACGCCCGATTCATTGCCGGATGGACAAACTCCTCAAACTATTTTTGCTTTTGTCTATGATCATTTAATCGATTCAATAAGGGCTGGAGATTACATACAGATTACAGGTATATATCGAGCGTTACCAGTAAGAAAAAGTATTAAACAGCGAACAATCCGATCAATATTTCGTTGTGGTATCGATGTGTTAGATGTTGTTATTCAGTCAAACGCATCATATGAAGATGATGCATCGCTTGAAGAATTTGAAGAAGTATTAGCAGATGAGCTAAGTACTTCGAAATATACAAATTACATATTTAAAACGGATGAACAAGATTTTCAACCAAGTTTTGTCGTTAGAGCAAACGAGTTTGCAAAGCACGAAAATGTATATGAGAATTTAGTTTCTGCATTTGCGCCAGAAATCTGGGAATATCAAGATATTAAAAAAGGATTATTATGTTTATTGTTCGGAGGAAATACCTCTTATTTGAGCGAAGGAAAAAGTTGTGTTCGAACTCGTGGAGATATTCATGTATTATTGTGTGGCGATCCCTCAACAGCAAAAAGCCAGTTATTGAAATACGTTCATCAAATTGCACCACGGGGAGTGTACTGTGTCGGACGTGGAACTTCATCGGCTGGATTAACAGCGTCTGTAACAAAAGATCCTGAGTCAAATGAATATGTTTTAGAGGCGGGAGCTGTTGTTTTGAGTGACAAAGGTATTTGTTGTATCGATGAATTTGATAAAATGCCTGAAAACACACGTACAATCCTCCATGAAGTTATGGAACAACAAACAGTTAGTATTACCAAAGCAGGTATTGTTTGTTCTTTGAACACTCGTGTAGCCATATTAGCATCGGCAAATCCAATCAAAAGTAAATATGATGCTCGAAAATCTGTTGTCGAAAATATAAATATGGTTTCGACATTGTTATCTAGATTCGATTTAATATATTTAATGTTGGATATAAGTAACCCAGAACAAGATCGTAAAATAGCAAATCACATATGCGAACTTTACACTAAAAAAAACGAGTACAATGATAAGTTTTCTGAAACCCGCAAGCACGTAAACATAAAGTTTTTGAAAAATTACATTAGATATGCTAAAGCAATCTGCAATCCAATTATTGAACCAGAAATTGAGAATGTTCTAATAGAAACTTATTTAAAATTGAGAGGTTATGGATCTGCGAAAACATTAATGGGTACCCCTAGACAGCTTGATAGCTTAATTAGAATAGCTACGGCTTTAGCAAAAATGGAATTATCTAGCGTTGTTAAAAAGGAACATATAGATGAAGCGGCCAGGTTGTTAACTGTTGCGACCTATGCTACCTTAACTGATCCTGTAACAGGAAAAATCGATTTCGACCAACTTAATATTGGTGTTGGTGAAGCTGCTAGAACTAGGCAAAGCGTACTAGAAAGGGTACTATTGAAAATTTTAAATGATTTACCTGAAGGTTTGCCATTGGTGGATATTGAAGAAAAAATGAACCAAGAACTCAAAGAACAAAGCCACAAACTTCTTTCTCCAAAGGAATTTCAGACGTTAATTAATTTTGCTATAAATACAGGTTTAATTGGGCGTGTAGGAGCAATTAATTACATAAGTCTTATGAAAATATAATTAAATTAGGCAGAGCTAACAAACGCTTATGTTGTTCATGCTCTATACATGTAATATTAATAAGAACAACAATATTATTCGTATGTTGACTTGTATTTTCATCTGTTAACTTATTTAAAAAGTGGTTTTGGCTTCTGAGAATATGACTTGAAGTTGATGGGTCTTCAGTGCAAAAAAATTTATCGAAATCATCGATAATAATGGTACTAGATTGAATTGATTTAGCAGTTTCAAATATTTCATCCGTGTATTTTTCAGATTCTCCCACGACTGGACTAAAGTAGTAACAGGCTAAATACCAAAAAACATCTCGTTTGTAATTAATAATAAGTTTTTGACTAACTATACTCAATAATTCTTGACAACAGTTGTGTGTCACTACCACTTTGATGCCATTTCCAGTTGTATTTGCAGAATTTAATCTATCTAATATTTTACGTGTAGAATTTAGCATAATTTCATTTGGAAAATGGTTTAATGATAAAAATAATGGAGAGAACTTAACATTATTTGCAGGCCTTACTGACCTTAAATCCTTGCTTTTATTGTTGAATAATAATTCCAAAACATTGCTTTCAATTTTGACAGTTTTTTTGGTAAATTTTTGATTAAATTTGTCGTAAACCTGCGATTGATTCCACGCATCAGAAACGTCGTTGCTGCAAATTAAAACTATTTTTAAATCTTGGTCAAGATTAGCAAGAATATCAAAATGTTTTTTTAATAAAAATAAATAGCTGTTGTCAGACGGAAGGCCGAGCTTAATTAACTGTAAATCATTAAGATTTAATACCCACCTGTTGAAAATGCCAATATCTTTTTCGTTTAGATATGTATTTTTGTCAGAATTATTCAACGACTCATCTCCTCTAGATTTATAAGTCCACGAAACAAAAGCTCCAATGTTGAAATCAAAGTTTTTTTTATCAGTTATAGCGACGAGTTTATTTAATTCATTGGAAAACGGCGGTACTATTAATAATACTCCTTGGTTTTTTGATAATATTGTACAATATTGTTTCCATACATAAGAATATTCATCATCAGTTGAATCGTAATGGCCACATAAATTTAAACCGTTTGTAACTCCAACTACTCTGTTTTTTGTATTGGCTAAAATTTTGTTTACGCACCAGATCCAGTCGCAATTTGAAATTAAAATAATTTTTTTCGACAAAATTTGGTAGAAAAAGTTTTCGTCAGAGTCAATTAACTTAGAATCTTCTATGTAAGCTAATTTGTATTCATTTAACAACATTTTCTCGTTATATATGGGAGAAAAATTAGTTACGTGGTTAAAATAATAAATGATCTCTACTTTTGAATTTAAATCGCGTTTTATAACTTGTAATAACAATAGGTTAAGATTAATGTGTCTCGAAATAACTTGAACAGTGAAATTGTTTGCAGAAACTTCAAAAAAATCAAAAATACAACCAGAATTAACCGAAAAATTGCTGGTGTTCGACACTCTCTGATCTAGATGAGTTTTCTCTTGTATTTTAAATTTTTGAGATTTCAGAAATTTTACAAGTGGCGTGTAAAACGATAAAAGTTTAATCAATAAAGTGCTGTCATATAATAACTCTTTATTATAATTCTCCAAGCAAGATATGCTTATCATTAAATCGCTGGGATGTTATTTCATATTGTTTTATATTTAAGGGCTATTATTTTTGATAAGTAATCATTTATTTATTCAACAAGATAAAAAATAAAATTTATATTCGACGATACTTTTGGTGTTTCTGTTTTTTCAATAACGTAGCATGGTTACGAAGTTTTTGCATTTTTTCTTGCGCACTAACCAAATTCTTTTCTCTTATTTCTCGTTTTTGCTTAAGCATAGCTAGAGGTTTATTTCTAGCCATAGACCTATTTGTAATACCAGCACGATTTGAATCTTTTCCTCCATGCTTAGAAAGTTTTCTCACTTGTCGTTCTTGTTGTTTTAATTGTTTATTATTAGAACGTTGGGATTTTCTAGCAGGAGCGAGATGTTCGTGAGTGATGAAAACAGATTCATTGTCGCTTTCATCGGAAGTAGTCTCATCTGTATTTGACTCGGAATTTTCGTCTAATGTATCGGCTTCTAAATCTTCAGAATCAGTAATACAATCGGCTTCTTCGTCTTCATTATAACTTACATTGCTTAATAAGAGCTCGTTTTCATCATCGCTTTCGTCAATTTCACTATCGTTACTGATAGATTCTGCTGGATCTATAGCTTCATCTGATTCAGCTAATTTATTAATACAATCATTTATTGCGTCAGTTTTTTTGTGCCCTAAAACTAATTTTGAAATTTCAATCCATTCGTGAATATTTTGATTTAGCCATTGTCGTATCGACATTCCGCTTTGCTTGGCAATAATATGTTTTTTACGAATTAAATTTAATGCTTTATGTTCGTTTTCAGTTAGAACATGTTTTTTAATTATATCATCTGGAGTTAAAGTATATTCTTTGCCAATTTTTGCAAAATAGAAAGTGTTTAGTTGAATAATAATTTTCAAACCTTCTATGAGATGTTGATCTTCTTCTTCTTCGATAAAATTTTTTGACAGCGCAGCTGCTTTATTCAAATTTTTCTTTGATAATAAGTGGGGTGCTTTCTCTCTACACAAATTCCTAAGCTTATTAGCTGCGATCTTAACTGCTTTATCGTGAGAAAATTTGCTGAAACCAATTAAATCATCAAGAAGTTCTGGTTTGATAATATTTATGTTTCTGCACAGCATGTAACTTATCGTGTTCAATCCAATAGCAATAGCTTCATCAGGCTGTGAAGTGTCAACAAACGTGTAGGCTATTTTCTTGATTGTTTCTTCTAGTTCATCTGTTGGAAATTCGTCATGAACCGCTTCAGCAATTATACTCAACAACTTAGTAATATCTTTGGTAGATTTACCAATGTATTTATGTAATCGTAAAAAAAAAGAAGGAAAAACTAACTTGTGACGATGTATCAAACGCGCTGCAATTGTAAGAAAGAAAAGCCGATTTTTGTATGATATATGTTTTTTTTGACATAAGGTAACCAAACGTTCAGTGAAACTGTAAGGATCATAAATCTGATCTAGTATAAAATACTGCACTGATTCAGTCTGAGTCATTAATTTATGTTTCTCGTTTAGTTTTAATTCGACTTGGTTTTTTTTTCGTTCTAGCTTTTTCATGGATCTGCTTTTGCGTTTGATGTTATCATGTTGTTTCTGATCGATGGAGTTGCACAAATCACTTAAATCTTCAGAAGTATTTTCTTTGTCATTGGACTCGTCAAACAAGAAATTTAGTTTTTTTAAACTACCAAGAGTAAATCTCGCAGCAATTTCTGCTATTTTAGGATCACTATCAAAAACCCCTTCAATTATTAAGTTAGCAATTGGTCTACTATTTAGTTTATTTTTAACAAAGAGTATAATAAATAATTCCTGCGCTCTTAATTTAATATTTGGATTAGAATCTTTTAATAATTTTTCAAGCTGGTTTTTGGCACTTTTTAGAATAATAGTATCATTAGTTTGTGACAAAGTTTTGTTTAAAAAACTGATAATAATCCGGCTGTATTTATCAGAATTTTGTGCAAGCATGTTGATTATAATATTAATCAGTTCTGATTGTTTCAAAGACTTGTTTCTGTATAAAGTAAAAATAGCTGATAAGAGGTTTTTAATAATTGTTGGTTTACCGATATCGAAATATTTTGTTAATAATTCATCTATAATTGTTACAAATTTATCCTGAAAAGAATAAAAGGCACTTGTATGAGCTAAAAACTGTAATAGACCTGCAATATCGCGGTTTGGTGAATTTGGAGAATTTTCAAAAAGTTGAATACAGGATTTAAAAGTTTCCCACTGCAAAAGAAATTCTTCCGTATAAGCTGTTGGAGTTTTTTTAATGCCATCCTGAAGTTGAAGAAGCGAAACAGTAAAACTATTAGTGCAAATTTGTTCCATAATAAATAAAAATCGTTATGTAGAGTAAACTTGCATCGTCAAAATGCAATAATTATCTTTAAAAATATTAACTTAACCAAACTTAATTTATTTTTTTTGCCTTTCTAAATAATTTAAGCAACAAAAACTTTTTAGTAATAGCAAATTATTATATAAATTTTATGTCCGAATCTACTAATGAGATATCAAATGTAAATGATGCTGTAGTTTTTCTTAAAAAACAAGAACATGATTTAGAACAGATAGAGAAAAAAGTAAAGCATGCTAAACTGTTACGCAAGCAAAAACAAAAAACATCTCAACTTAATAATTTACCAACGCTAGATAAAATATTAAAAAATCGTTCAGTGTCATGTTTTATAAAAAAACGAGCTTTTCATAATAAAAAATTACAAACGGCAAAGCCTAAAAAAGAACCAACTTTTTATCCAGTCTTACTAGTTGTGAGGTCTGATTACTCTGCACCGCCTTCTTCCATAGTTAAGAACTATTTAGATAATTTTAAGTTAAAAAAAGCCAATACCGGTGTATTTGTTCGAAACATTCCAGCAAATGAAAAAATGATTAGAAGTTTAGGTAGTTTTGTTTTCTACGGCGCTTTATCTCCTGAAACAATAAAATCTATATTAGTTAAAAGTTTTTCTGTAATGATGGATAATGAAATCGTCCCTGTTAACAACAATAACATTATTGAACAAGTTTTTGAAGAGTTTGCTGTATTTTCATTAGATGATTTGATAAATAAACTTTACTCAAATGCTGAATTAATTGATTATTTAGCAGATAAAATGTTACCTATTCAGTTTAATGACTACAAAAAAGTAAACGGCATAATTAACAAACCAAAATTAGGGTATGTCTCCAACCTTGACGAAAAAATACTGAAATTGATATAATCTATTCTGATCAGAAACTTATAATAATCTAATTTATAATTGTATCTTATCAGAATATCCAAAACATTACACACAAATCGATCTAATTTGCATAACTTCTGATAAACGTTGAAAATTTTGATAATTTATTTTTCTTGATAAATTTTATTATTTTTTACACATAACATTTTTTCTCTCACTAGTTATTTTGAAATTATTAGAATAGTTTTAATATGACTACAGCAAACAAAACAACTGACAAAGAAAACCAAAATAACAACGGTTGTTATTTATCATTACTCGACATAAGTTCAGAAGATGCTAATCGTCTAACGTACATAGTCAACACAGACAATCCTAAAAATATTCTTCCGGAACCTGAAACCGTAAGCTCGGAAGTACCAAAGTCCCAGGTTTTAAAAGCCAAAACACTCACTTTGGTTAACGAGCAAAAATCATATGTTCCATTCACTGTTGAGCGTATTAAAGAAGTTCCTGTAAAGGTTGTAGTTCGACGTCCTGTTGAAGTAGTTCAAATAATTGAAAAACCAATTAAAAAGCAGATAATAAAGCCTAACTGCATTCAAACCGACGAAATTATTGAAATTGATGTTCCTTACGATATTGAAAAACGTGTTCCAGTTCCCGATTATCATGACACTTCTAAACAATACTGTGTCGCTCAGACTTGTATCCCTGTCATTAAGAACAAGTTACATGAACAAAAGGGGAAAACAGTATATACGCCTAAAGTAAAACTTTACGATGTATACATTCCAAAAGTTGTAAACAATTCATTTGAAGTTATTTCCAAAAAAGTTAGTTATAAACCAGTTAGTGAATTGAGTAAGGCGCAATGGAACAGCATTGTTTTGAAGCTGAACCCGCATTTATGTGAGTACGGTAATATTGACCACTTACCCGTACACAGAAACGCTGATGGATCTGTCATCGCATACAAGGCTAGCGAACCAGTCGGTGTTCCTATTTAAATATGTACAATATAACTATATATGAGCAGTGATAGTAATCTTTTTAAACATTATAGACCTTGTTTCATTGCATACTTAAACATAAATTCAAGAAACTACATTATATAGTCATTCATTCAAATTTTTTAAAATCGCTGCGTACATATACTAATATAATCCTTGTATTTTATCGTGAAGTCTCAACTAACCAAAAATTTTGAACGATTAAAAATATTGGGTATTACAAACATGACTCAAACGCTTGGGATGGGACATTTAACTTTTGCTAGGTTAAGTTAAAAACGAAATTAGTTTATACAGAATGAAATTACGACCACTAATTTATTCAGTTCTTTCTCTTACAACAAAAGTCAAAGCGGTAGATCCTAATGGACCCAGGATTGTCCAATATATTGATCAAGTAAGTAAATTTATGTTTCAGAAAATTATCTTCTCGAAATTTTTATTATATGGAACATAAATATTGTTTTAGTGGGCTTTATATGCGAAGAAATTTCATACATGGGATTTAGATGATACTTTAATGGTACGAAATATGCCATATTCGAAGCTATTCATTAATCACGCTTTCCTTTATTTAAATCCAGATACATGCAAACTTCATTCAACTGATACAAACGGTGATTTCTCTTGGGGTTCAGCGTCTGATACAGATTCTGAAAATCCTGATAACAACAATAGGGGTCTTCCAATTTATAAAGGAACTAGAGGTTGGTTTGGTATGTATCATTTAATTAGAGAAAGATACCCAACAGAACAACAAATTTACTTTATTCCTGCATTAGGCGGCTGGTCTCTTTCACACGGATTCCAAAAATGTTTAACATCGAGTGAAGAGCTGGCTAAAAAATCTCTAAATGGCATACTTACGGCTATAAAACACTTCAACTTAGATGGTATCGATTTTGATTGGGAGTATCCTGGATGTGCAGAGAAATGTGGATGCCAAGGCGAATATACTTGTAAGAAGATGGGTATAAACACCGGTAACGTTAGTGGACCTGACGACTGGGATAAATACTTTGCATTTTTAAAAGCTTTACGCAAAGAATTAAAAGCATTAGCTCCTAACATGGGAAAGAAGCATTTATACGTTTCTCTCGCTGTTGGTATGAATTACGATTTGTTAGCAGGAGGTACTTCCAAATACCCAAAACCAACACCAGTCGAACAAATTTGTGAAAGTGACGAAGTCGATTTTGCAAACCTCATGGCTTACGATTTTTTCGGAGCATGGGTAGGTAAAACTGGTAGTCACGCCTTATTATACCCTAACCCAGATCAGCCAGAAGAACAAAAGATGAGCCTACACAGTGCTACAAAGAACATTCTCTCACGCTGTTCTGATCCTTCAAAGCTTAACATGGGTTTGGCTACGTACGCTAGAAGCTGGAGAAAGGTACCGAAAGGAGAGGGAAAGATTCCTGGACTATATCAAACCTCTACTGAAACTATTCCAGGTACTCAAAAGCTAGATGAAGGTTGGTTACCCGTTACTGAGTTAGATAAATTTGACATCGCTACTGATGGAGAGATCGGAGCCGTCAAGACTGGTAGTTTTCCATGGTTTGAACTCGTTCAAAACTGGTTTACTAATAATTCTTGTGAAAGACACTGGTCTCCAAACCATGAAGCTCCAATTCTTTACTGTGGGCAGAGTACTACTACTGGATCTGATACTGAGGTATTCATTTCTTATGAAGACCCTGAGTCTTGGTTCTACAAGACAAGATACGCAAAGGCCTCAGGAATGGGAGGTGTAATTCTCTGGACTGGTGGTGATATGGGCAGCATGATCCAAAACACTGCAGCAGGAACTGATATTGGACGACCACTCTGGTCTTCCATTTTCCAAGGATGGTTTTATGATTTAACTAAGGTTGTTGGTGAGGCAAAATACGACACTTCTTTCAATATTGAGAACAAGCGATATCCAGTGATTGCTGACTTAAATGATTCAGCTTGCGCAGAACTTAACAAAGACAGCTGGGCTGAACCACTTTGCTCATGTCCAATCAATGCTGAGCAACGTCTATACAAGAAGAACCCGGGAGAAACTAGAAAGTTTACTCAAATGCAACCACTTTGCACTAGTGAAGGTTTATTCAATGATGTTCAATGTCCAAACTGTGCTCAAACTGGATTTGGTGTCACAATTACTAAATCAACCAAAGAAATCAAACATTCTGCTCCTGAAGCCTGTAAGCGATTAGAAGGCTTGCCAGCACCAACAGATTTACACGATCCATTGAAGAGCTACACAATTAACCAAATGAATAAGTGTGAAAGTAAAAAAGACGACAACGATGACAAAAAACATCATTGTCCAGAAGGATGTAAGTGGATTTGCAGAAACACTGATAAATATATAATATAAACGTTCATGTATGACTTAAGAAAACAATAAATTTAAAATGCATCAGAGATCTTGGTGTAAACTGATCATCAAAGATAAGTCAGTAGTAGCAACTTTTCTCATCATTTCATATAACATTATAGTTTAACTGTTGTAATTTACAAGCATATCAGAGTGGTGGTGCATCAGATTATCCCCACATAAATCGGATAGGTAACTGATTTTGTACTCATCATCTATTGATTTACACTTCTTGTCGAAACGCAAAAATTTTGTAAATTATAATAATATATTATGTTATGTCGATTATTTTATTATCGCTTAAAATTACCTTTTTATTGATTTATTAGCTAATATTATATAGAATACCTAAATGTTTATAAATCATCTGCTTACATGTGAATAAATATGCAACTGTGTCATTTTTGCTTTAAAAACGCTGGTCATTATGCTTTATTCCGCCAATTCGAATAGATTATCGCTTAATTCGAAAAATCTATTTTCTTTGAATGCCATTAATTTTTATCGAAAACTGATCAACGTTTCAAGCAGTGCTATTATTTTTCAAGGCATTTTAAGTAGTTTCCACAAAGTAAATGACGATGAAGCCAACTCTTTCTTCATTAGGCTAATTGCACGCCCAATTTTGCTTAGTTCCTCATTAATTTATTATTTAACGCTAAACGAACGTCGATTAACGTTTTCAGTTTTTTCTTGTATGAATGCTAGCACGTTTTTCGAGCTTAAAAACCAGCCTAATTACAATTCACTTATTAGATTCGAAAAACAAATTTACAATAATATCAAAGTTATTTTGAACAGCTGTTACTTTTTAAGATCGCATTTTCAGCCAGAGTTATCGTTAATAACAACAACCGATTATTCCGTAATAGTTAGAAAAAAGATTGGAAATAATCTTGCGAAGTATACCACAGCTACTACGTTACTTAAAGAACTTATAATGGCTCAGCTTTTTTTATTTGGAATGCAGTGTGACTGTTTTAATTATTTTCCTGAAGATCTGACATTAAATTCATTCGTTTTAATCAATTCTCTCCATCTATATTTAGTTGATATTACAAAAACCCTTAATATACTACAGCATACCTCTGTATTCAAGGCTCCTATACTAAAAAATCTTTTTGGGCTAGATTCCTATTTTGAAACTAATGTGAATTCTTATCTAAATGCTTTTAATTGTGAAGATAAAACTACTGGAACAACAAATAATTTGATAGCAGCAACGTTCTTAAAAGTCTCTGTCTTTAAGAGTCTTTTTTCTAGAAGGTTACTTTTAGCATTAAAGTATGACGCTCATAAAAGAATTGTTTTTTGCATTAGCTTAGCTTTAGCCGTAATCGATCTACTTGTTGCTAACATTTATCCGAAGTCTTCGAATTCAACAATAAATACTAGCGATAATTTTTACGATTATTCAACAACACTAAATCTAGCTTTAATAAAAACCAAAAATCCATCTTTGTACATCTTACTAGAAAAAATGTTAAATTTTTCAGACGAGTCTTTTCTGTTTGATCATGTGTTTCATGATTATTTTAAAACAACACAATTCTTAGCCTATGATGATTTTTCTGCCCTAGAGCTGTATAAATTTTTGTCCCAAGTATTTGAAAACAACTATTTATCTTTTTTGCTACTTTGTAGTTTTTTGTATTATTTTACTAAGAATAAGTACTTGTGTGATTATCAAAACAGTTTATATGAAAAGTTCAAACCTCATATTTTTGCTTTTGCTGCAAACAAGCCAAATTTTAGATTCGTGTTAGATGATAAGTTTCTTGAACAGATTGATTGGCAAAATGCTTCTATGTTTTTGTCAGCAAAAATTGATTATTTAAAACAGACTAAAATCAAAAATTCTAATCAAATCCTTAACAACGACTTTTTACATTCCAGTAGTTTTACCTATGATAATGTAAATTTTAACAAAAGTTTGTCTTCAACTGATAAATCTATGTCTAATAGTCCTAAAAGTGACAGTTCAAAGTTAAAGGAAATTTCACTCGATGATAAAACTATTATAAAACAACCTAGTGTTGATGAACCAAAAACTACTCAGCCCACAATTAAAACAGCCCAAATTGATATTACAGACGATGTTTTGAAAAGTTCCACTTCTTTGAAACAAAATATTATATTACCTTTTTACGTCAACAATACAGAGCTTGACGATGGCCCAAGTCATTTTGCTTCGCTACTACAACATTGCTTTTCAAATCATTATAATGACACAAAAAATGAACCAGCTCTTGACAAAAAGTGTAAAATAGGTGAACTGTTGCTTTACCAAATTTTACTTTTTAAAAAGTTTAATGATTCTTCTAACGACATCTATCCAGGTAAAGGTATTTTGTTATGCTCCATATTAAAAATATTGCCTGATAAAATAATTGAGCATTCCTTGATTCCTTATATCAAAGCTAAAAAATCGGACGATTATACATTGGTTTTAGTTGTAGCTGCTATCAAATTACTGTTTCCCAACTTATCAGTCAATCAAAGTTTAGATGAATTTTTCATTATTTTCATAGAAGAAGAAATTTTCCAAAAAGATATAAAAAAGATAAACATATTTGAATCCCTATTTTATCTTTTCGATGAAAATTTGGATAACATTTCTGAATGTTTGATAAATTTGTTTTTGTCTCGGTTAGATCAAATCAGTATCACAGACTTAATTAAAATTAGAATATTTAAGAAACTCCGAGCTTCGCTTGCACAAGACAGTTTTAATCGTTGTTTCAAATATTTTTATTCGTATTTTTCTCAAAAAATGGTTGCTTCAAACGATTTTTGTATTGAAATACATTTGTTTTTCACGGAGTTTTTCACAGATACAGTTTTGAATTCAGAGATTTTAAATTACATACTCGATAACACCGACATTAATATTTTTACTACTTCTTCGTTCAGTTATTACATACTTGCCAGATTACTAATGCGTACAAACAAAATTAATTATAAATTATTAGGTTTGCTTTCTTCTGTTCAAAAATTATTCAACAAAATGTTAATGCCTCATGAGAAACTACTGCACGATATCAATTTAAAATTACTTAACGTTTCGAAAGCGAATTACGAAATCCCTAATTTGAAACTTAGTTCGGTTTCAGAACAAGGTTTACCATATTATTGCGATATGATCCCGAATATTTTATTGAACACACATTTCAGTACGCTTTCTAAGACCATCAATATTTATGAAAATACGATAAACTTCAAATACCTCCAATCCAAACATAAAAATTATTATTTAAGCTATTCAATCATCATCAATAATATTAAAACGTTGTTAAGTATAAACGATACTCTTTATATAATTTTTAAAAACAAAATCTTTGAACTTTGCTTATTTTCCCCTCCAACTTCAGTTTTGAGCTGTATGGACCTGAAAAAAGAATTTGTTGATATAAAGCATTATATTTGTCTAAACAACAAACTTTACATACAAACTGCTAATGAATTAGTTATCTGTCAAATTTTGAAGAACAAGCTGAAAAAAATTGATCAGTTATCATGTATAAAAACGTCGTTCTTTTTAGTATCAGTGCATGAAATCAGAAACACTTACTATTTTGTTTTCGAAAATGGTCAAGTTTTATATTATAACAGTACAATTTATTATATTTTCAGCATACCCTTACCAAAGCTAATGGTAATAAAATCATACTATATTTCAGAAATGAAAATACTTGTAATACTGGCAAACGACGGAAAACTATCGTTCCTTTCTACTGAATTTTGGTGCTTGCTGGACAAATCTTCGTGCTCACGATATGAGCGCAACTCTATGGTCAGTCAAACACCACCCGAAAAAAATGACTTATACAGAGAAAATTTTATCGTTGCTTTTGACCAATCATTAGACGAATCTCTTTCTTTTAAAGAAAAATACAAAGATCCAGACATTTATTTTCAAAATAGTTCCAGCTACTTTTTGAAAAATAACGAAAATTTCGATATAAACAATCATTATATTTTAAATGTTTACAGCAATAGAAAACATTTTTCTCATGCGTATATTTGGATCAGTTCATGCATCATTGATGAGAATACGGCCAAACAGTTATGCCTCTTATTATTTAATATTAAATCCAAGCAACCAACCTTAATGATAAATATCAACGAAAACCCGATAAAGCAAACAACAGATAACATAAATAAAAAAAAAAGCTTCAATAGTAGCGTATTGAGCCGGCAAAACTACAAATGCCTAATTGCAAAAACGTATTACACAGTATACTTAGACGCTAATTCCATATTTGTTTCTTATCAGACGAATATAATACAAATAATATTTAACAGAATTCCAGCAGCGAATCAAGCTGATAGCACAGCAGATGAACAAGCAGTTAATCTTGATCAATTACCTTTGTTTCTGCTAAGTAAAGAACCGCTAGAATATAAAATTTTTGTTATAGGGGACCCAAACATGGTCTTTTCTTCAAAAATAACTTATACAAACAATAATGTCACCACAATAAGCATTCCAAATATTTTATCACACAATTATAATTGTTCGGTTACTAAACTACTCAAAGTACATCAAAGATTAATAGGTCTACAGAATCAAAGAATTTTGTTTTTTAATAGTTACTAAGAACGGTTAGTATTTTTAATGAATCTAAACGGAACCTAAAAATTTAAAACAATGCTGTGTGCAAAATTGTTGGAGTCAAATTGAAAGAAGCTCGCCTAATTTAAGGTTCAATTAAATCGACTCTATTAGCATTAATCATCAGTTCTTTTGCTTCATCAGTACGCAGTATTCTATAATTAACACTATCATCTTGTTTAGATAAAACAGCAAATTCTGCAGAAGCTTCTATGTCGATTGTGCTTCCAACTGTTTTTAAAATTTTAGCGGCGAGTTCAAGCCCTTGCTGAAGAGTGAGAGTTTCAGTGTATTCTTGTTTAAGCAAAGATTGAGCAAACACATTTTCTTGCCCTATCGCAATCGCTTTCCACGTGTTAAAATTTCCAGCTGGGTCCGTTAATACTACTTTGTATTCGTTTTTAGAAGTTACAATTGCAAACATTAACGCAAGTCCAAATGGACGCAGTCCTCCATTTTGAGTGTACGATTGGATTTTATCGCAAAGATTAGAGATTAGCTTAGTCGGGTTTATGTGCTTGTTATAGGTATGCAAATAAGTTTGAGAAATACGTCTAGCTAGATTAATCAGTACGTTTGCATCAGCTGTCCATCCAGCGGATGCACAGATGATGTTTCTATCTATTGCGTGAAGTTTTTCAGTTCCTCGTTCACGCTCAACATATTTGGAAGTTTTCACTTTGTTTGCTGCCAATACAATTCCCTGTGTAGTTACAATCCCAATGGTAGTTGACGCATTGCTAATGGATTCTAACGCATACTCCACTTGAAACAGGCGACCTTCGTTCGAAAATATAGTTGTACGAGAATCGTAACGAGACATAATTATTCAATTCGTTTTTACCTATCTATTTGTTACATTAAATATTAGATTGTATTTTTTTTTTTATCTAACTTTTCAATATATTGCTTGTATAATTGAAATTTTCATTAATTAATAATATTATCTAAAATAGTTCAAGAATTTACAAAAGTTTCAGTCAGCCCATTCAAACCAGAACTTAAAGATTTCCATTTTTTATTCAGTTTTTTCCAAACAATGATATCAATTGTGTTTTTCGCAATCATATAATAAACTTTTATTGTTTTGTGATTAGACCCTATTCTATGAACTCTGTCTTCTGCTTGTAATAATACACCGGGAACCCAATACAACTCTGCAAATACAACTGAGTCAGCAACGGAAAATTCTAAACCAGTCCCACATGCCAAAACAGACAAAATTGCTACGCTGGCATCTCCTTTTACAAACTGATCGATGTATTTTTTCCTGCTTGAAATTGCAATTGATCCATCAATGTAAATATAATTATATCTCAAATTCTCGATTATTTCTTTAATTTTCTTCAACACTTCAATGTGATGAGCAAAAATGACGCACTTATGAGCTTTGTGCATAATATTTTCTATGTAACTTTTTAAAATCTTGACCTTTGCGGATCCTGTTAATTTGAATAGCTCGTTTATAAGTAATTTCGATTCAACATTTGAAAGTATGTTGCCCTGCAGTTGTTTGAGTTTAGTTTGTATTGGCAAAGATTCTTCTTCCAATATGTCTATGAAAATAGGTTCTCTAATTTTATCCGGTAGCTCTTGTAAGACATTCAATTTTTTTCTACGTATCATAAACGTATATGACAGCAGAAAATATAATTCTTTTTCTAATCTTATATCTGAATATTCAATTCTTCGGGAAAACTTATTGTATTTTCTAATAGAATACCTATCAGCAAATTCATTCAAACTAATTTTAGTGGGATACAACATCAAAAAGTGAACATAAAGCTCAACCGGTGCATTTAACGCGGGTGTACCGGTCAAACAAATGATGCGCTTCATTTTTTTAATAAAGGGTAAAATGGTACGTGATCGTTTGCTTTTTAAATCATTGAGATAATGACTTTCATCTAAAATAGCTAACTGAAAATTTACTGTTTTAGCATCTACTTTAGAGGCCATTTCATAACTGCACAGCAAGAATTTAATATTTTTTTTTACCACATCAGAACCAGAATTTATTATTTGCAATTGTTCGTCAATATCTTCAAACAAATTCGAGCACCATTTTCTTATTTGAATGTTCCACTGATCTTTTAATGAACTAGGGACAATTGCTATGGCTGGCCAGTCTCCCCTAAAATTTGCTGCTAGAGCTAAAGCCTGCAGAGTTTTTCCTAAACCCATTTCGTCTGCAATTAAACACTTTCCATTTCTTTCGCAGCCAAACTTTACTCCCACGCGCTGAAAAGGTTTCAAAGCGTTAAATAACAAACCAGCGCCTTTATGTGTATTTGTGAGGCTTTCATTAAACTCAACAGGTTCGTATTTAATTTCTAATGCTGTTAACAAAAATTTAGGAGGCAGTTCTAATGTTACTATATCTGACATGATTTCGATAATTTGACGTATTTCAGTCATTTTAAATACATAACCAACTTCGAAACCAGAATGTTTATGTAAATAGTTTGCTATCAGCCTGAATATTGATTCGGGCAAAAATTCATCTAACTTATTTTCTACAGAGTAATATAATTTTCCATAGTTACGATCTAAAACTTCGAAAACCAACTTTTCATGATTCTCCTGACTATTTTGCGAAGCTTTCATGTTTTTCGACGTTCCACTTTGTGTTTGACTACTGAATTAATATATAAATGAGTAATGACGAAAACTTACGAAGCAGTTGAACTTATTTTAAAGTCTAAATTTGGAAGAGTTGTAGCAGATTTGCTTTCACAAATGAAATTTTTCAATTCTTTTAACGGTCCTGAAGCATTTTCTAATGATAGTATCCAATCACAATAACTTTTTTCTAATAAAATTAATACCGTTTAAAACATACCCTTCTCAAAAATGTTTTGGAAAGATTTTCCTTTGTGTTTTCCAAAAGTTATTACTTTATCAGCCATTGATTAAGATTTCATTTATTATAAGTTTATAAAAATATTAAGTAATACAATGCCTAAGAATTTTAATATTTAACCTAAAATATTTCAAGCATTAAATCACTATGTTAGTACCTACTAGTAATCGTAATGATAAAAATTTTAACAACAAATACATTTCTCTTTTAGGACCTGAGAGCCGTCAAAAACTATTAGAAGGTATTCATGCAATATCGGATATGGTTTCAACCACATTGGGACCACAAGGTAAATGCGTACTATTAAATGATGAAGCAAATAATATAAGATTAACTAAAGACGGAGTTACAGTGGCTAGGAATTTTTTTAACGTAGATCCAATAAAAAACACTGGAGCTCAACTGATTAAAAATATAGCTAGTGAAGTCAACAATAAAAGTGGTGACGGAACGACGACAACAACGGTTTTAGCCTGCAAACTTCTTTCGTTATATAACAAAACAATTCTGGAAGGGCACAATTCAAATGAATTGAGAAAACAGTTAGCTGAAGCTAGTTCAATAGTTACAGAATTCATCTCTAATTATGTGAAAATTGCAAATAATAAGGATATATATAATATTGCTTTGATTAGTTCAAATAATCATAAAAATATTTCTGAAATACTATATAAAATTTACAGTGAATTAGGTCATGACGCAGTTATAACTATTAACAACTATCCTGCAAATAAAGACAATGTGAGTTTTACAGATGGATATTCAATAGATCACGGGTTTTCTTCGTCTTTTTTTATTAACAACTTCAAACTAAATCAATGCGATCTATCTGGATCCGTTAATATACTTTTATCCAATTCAGAATTAACTTCGATGAATTCTTTGATAGAAGTCTTTGAACATAGTTTGAAAACGAATAAGCCTTTATTAATAATAACAAAGTCGATTTCAGATGAATTGTTAGAAACTATAATAGTTAATAAATTGAAACATCAACTCGATGTTTGTGTTATTAAATTAGAAGAATCTGATTTAAACAAAATAGATGTTTTAAACGATATATCAGTTTTAACTGGTGCTACTATCGTTAATCCTATGTCTAAGAATGTCATCTCCATAGAAAGTTTAGGTCAACTTAAAGAAGCTATTGTCACTAAAAATTCGTGTACGATTATATCTGGGAATGGAGATAAGGACAAAAAAGAAATGTATATTAACGATTTGACTTCAAGTTTAAAACACACGAAAGATTTGTCTAAAAAAATAAAACTGGATAAAAGAATTGCAAAACTGAAAAATAAAATTGCAAAAATTGATTTAGAAGCAGCCAATCAATTAGAATTCGGTGAAATTTATGACCGTGCAGAAGATGCCATCAATGCAGTCAAGACAGCAATCAAATCTGGGATTCTACCTGGTGGTGGAGTTATGCTTTATATGGCATCGCTTTATCTAGACGAAATAAATAAAAATTTAAATAAACAGGGATATTCAATTTTATCAGAGGCTTTAAAAACACCTATCGAAACCATGCTTAGAAACGCAAATCTGAAAATTAATGAAACCTTAGAAAAAATTAACTATCTTAATAAACCTATTGAAAGTAAAAATGGTGATTTTATTGGAATTAATTTCAAAAACAATGAATATGTAAAAATGATTGACAATGGCATAATAGATCCAGCTGATGTTGTGCTGGATTCGATCACTAAATCAGTAAATTTAGCTAATCAATTCTCTAGTATTAACGGATTAATATATTCTAATGTTTAAATTAATTATACACATTATTTCTGCATGTTATTAATAATGTTATAAAGAAAATATCATGAGTTGTATGACTATGCAAAAATTATTTTCACGATAATTAAGTCAATTATTTATAATCATTAAATTTTTTAGCATACAAAATTTTTTTGTCAAGTACAAACAATTGAAATAAGTGTTCAGTTAAATAATTAATGTTATTCGTGTAAGTATATTTGACTAGAAAATATCTCAGACTCAAAATAGTTGCTCAAAACAATTCAAATGCACAAGTTGATTTAGGACTACTCCAAACATTTTCCAAATTAGGCAAAGCATACAAGAGAGCTTGGGAACTTCAATTGCAATTTATTGAGGATGAACGGTTAAAAAAATTATTTTACCAAAGCAAATTAGTTTGTAATACTTTTAAGCATCAATACGAACTACTAAATAATCATTTGCTTTCAAACCCGAAATACAGCCATATTCCTATCGTATTAGTCGAATCTATAGAAGGAAAAAGAAACAATATTCCACAATCAAGTGTCAATCTAGGTGTCTATTATGGAACGGCGCGAAAAAGAGGTAGACCTGCGAAAGTTAATTCTTCTAAATTTATAAGACTTGGTTTTGATAGTGATACAAGCGCAGATTCAGACAATGATATCGATACAAATTATTTTTATAAAGATAATAGATGCAAATTAAACATTAACGAAAAAAAGTTACGATGTGAGCCCAAATTCACTCCAATCGAAGATATCGTTTAATATGCAAAATAACAATAAATTAAACATTAATGTTTCGAGTTATGGATATCGTTCATTAAAATTTATAATTCATTTTTATAGCTTATATATTAAGCTGGTTAAATTTCAAATATTACAAAGTAGCTCTATTCTTTTTCGTTACCTACAAATGTTTGTTTACAAATGAAACATTTACCTGGGTTTGAGCTTAATTTAGTCGCATTTATCAGGCATTCTGTGTGGAATACATGGTTACAATCCAATGGCATGCATGACTTTGTACTAGAGAATAATTCTTCTAAACAAATAACACATTGATCCTTGTACATATTTTTTCTGCATCGATGATCTTCTGTTTTCAGGACACACATATTGCAGTTGTCACAATGAAAATACAATTCTTGATCCCCCACCCTGCATATGCCACATTTGTTACAATGAAAAATTTTTTTATCTAAATCATTATCAAATAGATTACAAATGTCACAAAAATAATTGGCAAATTTAATACCACAACTTTTACATTTATTGCTAATTTTTTGTCTACTATTGCATTCACCACAATATACTTCCTTAATAGCATAACGATCTATTTGATGTGTTTCGTTTTCATTATGACAATGTCTACATTGATACTTTTTATTACAGCATGGAGAGTGTATATAAACGTTTCTCTTGTAATGTTTACATCCGTTAAAGCCAGAAAAAAGCAACGCTTCCATCATATGAGTTGCAAGTTCTTTTGCCTCAAACAATGATGATCTGCGTGTTTCTTCGTTCATTTTGTACTTAAAATTTGACTAAAAGAATTCAAGATAAATTCATAGTTTTTTAAATTAATTTATTATATTATTAAAATGTGACGATTTTAAACCTTAGTTTTACTAAACAAAAAAATATTGATTATTCTTATAGTTTTTTTATATTAACTTTCGTTACACCAAGGTAAACAAAAAGTTCAGACAAAGTTTTAGGTTTTTTAGATGTACAGATTCTATGTTTTATTTTTTCAATTTCTAATGTAGTGGGGCTTGGCGGATTCTTAACAATTTTTTGCTTATTTGTGAATTTATCATTGAATGGATCAATCTTTGGATGTTTCATTCTAGATTGTTTTTCATGAATTTCCTCATATGAATCACAGGGATATTCTTCACAAATGTCTCCGAGATTGACAAAGAGTTTATCTGTATTAACTTGTTGTTTGGAAGAATTGAAATAACTAAATGGTAAATATTTATCTTGAATTATAGAACTATTCTTGTTGCTGTTATCACAAATTTCAGCTAATAAAAGATCAGTTAGATGCAAACTTCCTGGCGGTGAATCCGGACATCTTAATGACTCAGGTGGATCTTCTTCATAATCTTCATCAACATATGTTTCATCATCACTGCTAATAACCGGATTATTTTGTATTATTATATGATTAGTTTGATGATTTTCCAAGGCTTGTCGAAAGGTTGTTGGTTTTTGGTTATCAGATTCATTAATCTCACTGTCAGAACTTTTACCGTCTGATGATACTTCTGATTCTCGCTCCATTGTGAAATCGTCAGGTAGTTCCATTATATCACCGCATGAATTTTCTAAAAATACTGGAAGAACAGGTCTTGTTGATTTAAATTCTTTACCAGATAAATTTTTTTCTTCTTCTTCGTCACGATAAAATTTTAAATGACCATCTAAATTTTTCATAAAATACCCATTTCGTACAGGTGGGCCTTCATAGTGAAGTTTTCCATCTTCACCTACTACTAGCGATAAGTCCTCTTGATCATTTGTTGTTATATAAGATACATCCATAAATTGCATAGTAAGAAAAACGTCATCAGGAACGGGCCATATACCATATGTTGGTACTAATCCTGTAGTAAATACAAAATCAGAATCGTTTTGTAAAGGCTTGACGTCATAAATACTTTTAGCTGCGATTAAAGTTCGTTGCGGCTCAGACGATATTTTTTTAGGTACACTAACTGAATTTTCAATACCAATAACGTCATCCTTAGTGATAATTTTTTTAGGATAACATGGCACTCTTATATTTTTGCGTAACCAGGTTCTTGCTTTTGATAGAAACTTAAAACTCTTTAGAACTTTAGAGTTATTGATAATTTGATTCATTGTAGTTGCTTTAACACTACTTTTACTGTTTAGCAATGTTGGATCAAATGTTTGTTGTATATTTTCAAAAAAAATTTTCATTTGAAGGCGCATTATTGCGGAAAACAAAACTCACACAAAAGGAAAACCAACGAATATCCGACGAACACTTACTTTGCGCATACTAATCTATTTTTAATCAAATATTATTGCCGTTTGACTTAGTTTAAGTCGTTATATTCTCATTTTTACATTATATAGTCTTATAAATTGTTTGAATCAAATGAATTAAGAAAAAACGGTAAGATAAACTGATGATGCTATTCGTTTTTTGATTAATAATACAAATAACCTTTGATAATAATGGTAAACACTTTAAATATGTTATACATAGAATGAAAAGAGTTTAATTGATAATTTTAAGTTTTCTAAAAACTAAAAAATCAGTTAGTGTATAAAAAGACAATTTTAAACAACTATTTTTATCATTATTACGTAAAGCAACAGTCAATCTATTCCTGAACGAATTAAATATACTTTTTTCATTTAGAGTTGAATTAGGACTATTCTTTAAAAACTTTTTATAAATTAGTTTATTGAAATTTTGAGATAAGGCATCATTTTTGTTATTTTGAATAAATCTCTGTTGCGTCATAAATTTATCTGCTGAATAAACTAATAAATCTTCTATTTCAAGATTGGGCAATGATTTGAAGTTTGTAGGCTGAGTGTTATTATCCATATGAGTTGAATCATAAAAAAAATCATTTTTTAGCTGTTCATCTTTTTTTTCAATAGTATTAAAAGTGACTAACTCACTATCTGATTCACTGGTACTTATATAATCTAGGTCAAAATCACTAGGGTTTTTATTTAGATTTTGATCTTTTTGAGTATAATTTTTTATTGAATTATCCGTGTTATTATGATCTGAGTTAATCATGTTTTTGGAATCAACTAAGTTATATGTCACAATTTTTGTATTAGAAACGATTTTTTCACGATTTGCCAACATTTGTGATTTTTTATCGTTGGTTTTTGTAAAATCTCTGCTTTTTTTAGTATTTTTTTTCTTAAATCTGTACCGTCGAACTTTGGAGTTCTTATTGAATTTTTGTTTTTCTATGTCATCCGGTATATTAACTTTATTTATTACTTTAGTTTGTTCATTTGCTATATTAAGGAGGCTGGAGAAAGTTTCATTATTATTAGTAATTTTAACCTTATTAGATGTAATTAATTCAAAATTAGTTTGCTCCTCACTAAGTTTAAATTTAGCAAGACCCATGCAATTTCTGAATAATAGCAGGACTTCAATTCGTTTTTCAATTGCCCAAATTAAAAACGACAATAAGGTTAGTGTAAAATAATTATTTTTTATTTTTTCTATAACTAAGGAACTATTCCAGCTGTCAAGTAAAAATACCTTGCTAAAAAAATATTTGATTCTTTCAGTTAATCCGAACCCACAGATATAAGCTGAAATAAAAAATCCTAAAATAAACTCCATAATAATCTGTTTTATCTCAGAAAAAGTGATAGGATATCCTTTATTGTGATTTATAATGTTATTTTTGCAAATTTCTACTAATGCATTCGCATAATCGACAATACTAATTGATGTACTAGTGTATTTTTGTTGATTGTTGTTTTTCACTATTTTAACACGATGACTAGTTTTATTAATTTTAGTGCTATTCGAATTTTTGGTAGGAGTATTAGTTTTAGATAAGTTTATCTTTTGAGAGGTTCTTAGCTCATTATCTCCATTAGTAATATGAAAAACCTTATCATTAGTTATTTTTGCAAAAACCATAAGCTTAAGTTACTATTTACAAATTATACATAATTAAATGATAAGTGCGCATTGTCGAACAAAAATGTAGATACTAAGGAAAAACTAGTTTTTTTAAATTTTTTTTATCAATATTACGTATCGCTCCAATATAAAAAATTATACAATTTTGTTTTAATAAATTTAATTTTTAAAATTTGGTATATAAAAATATAGTTCATCTGGATTGTTTTACAAAAGCAATTTTTCTTTTTTTTCAAAGAATTTAAATTTTTATCTTCAATATATATATATGTCTTTAATTGAAAATGTAGGGACTATAGGTGTTGTTTGTAATCATGTTCCAATAATATTATACAATTTAGGAAAAAAACAATTTCTACTAGCATCACAAGGTGATAGATATTCTATTTATGAAGCAGAACATTTAAGGGTCGTTTTTCAAAGTCGAAAATTTAGTTGTTTTTTTAAACAAATATTATGCTCGTCAATTCATAATAAGTTATGCTTATTCTGTTTAGAAGAAGATTCAACTGTTAAGTGTATCCATCGAAACACAGTCTTATGGTCGAAAAGGTTTGATTCTTATGCCATATCTAAACTATTAATCCTATCTGATAATTTGTTTTTGTTATCTAGTCACCATATATTGATGCTAGATGCTTATAATGGGGAGTTACTTAATACGTTTAGTTTTACAGAATTAATCGATCAGGTAGATGACAAGCTTACTAACTTTTTTGTGTACTCCGAAAAAGTAACTACGTTAATTGTTTTCTGTTCTAATTTAAAATTGTTTACCTTCAATTACAATAGTTTCAAGGGTTATAAAACGTTCAATGCCATAAAGAACTTTTTATTAGACAATAACTATAATGACGTTAATGATTCTATTACCAAACATTGGAAAATTTCTGCAATTGATCAAATAACAGTAGGATCTGAAACGTTAATACTCAGTTTGACTACGAACGACAGTCTGCAAGAAAAAACGAATTATGTCGTTATTTACGATTTAGATCAGGATAAAATTCTTGTTAATATCGTTTTAAATAAGAATTTTGGGATTCCGGTATGTTTAAGGTTTATTAATTTCTTGCAAAGAAATAATACTAATGAATTTATGAATGATTTGCAAGAATATAAACTCGTTTTGATCGCTACCAGCAAAGGAAGTTTTTTAATTGTCGATTTGTTGACTATGAAAATTGTTACTATTTTAGAACAAACGCATAATCAATATCAAGACGACATTAAAACCGCTGCTATTACGTCTTTGAACATTTTATCAGAAGATAATTCAGAATCTCTGGTTTTCGCTACCTCTGGTTATGATAATACAATAAAAATATGGGTGTATAATGATATTCATGGAAAAATTTCTTTATTTAAAAATAGAGTTGGCATCTATTTAGTTCCCACAAAGATATCATTAGTCGATGAAAATTTCATGCATACCCAAAAATTCTTTGTAGTTAGCAATCCTATAGAATCTGAAAAATCGAGTCGATTATCAGTTTATTCGACAGTTAATATAGCGCAAAATATTGATTTTTCCTTTAGAAAAAACTTAGGTTTTTATGAAAAAAATCACTATAAACTCAAATATCTGCCGAAAATTACAAATTCCAGTGCGAACTTTGATAGAACATATGACTGGCCAAGCATTATTACTTGTCACGAAAATTTGCATCAAGTACTTATCTGGAGCTATGAAAATAGTTGTTTTACTGGCCTAACTCTAGAATTTCCACGGGTTGAAGGTAAAGATACTAAAGAGAACGATTGGATGCATTTGGTTTCAGAGATTCAAAATTTAAATACTCACAGCAATCATAACTTTCCAGTAGCTACTTCATGTCAGATTTCTTCATGCGGTAATTTTGCGATTATAGGTTATCAAGACGGTCAGATTGCAACATATACTTTGCAAAATCGATTACTGTCTTTTATGTTTAAGTCCACTCAGCGTGAGAAGAAAATTGATACAATAAAAAACAAATTGTTACATTATGCTCAAGATTTTTTATCTGAGCGTGATCCTAGTATTGTGTTGAAAAAGAAACATTTGATAAAGTCTAAACTAGATAACGTAAGAAAAGAGATAACCACTCTAACAAATCGAAACGCGAGTAATGAGTCAATCGATTCAACGGAAAATTGTTTTAAGGTTCAAGTTTGCAATGTAGTATTTCTCACAGTTTTCAAGTTTTTAGTTACGCGTAAAAATTTACTATCGATTGAAATTTACTGCATCAAAGCTCAGTCATTAATTCAAAAAATCGAACTTGACAAATTGGATAATAAGCTCAAGCATGGCGATTTAGACAAATTTAATCGGTTTATCCAACTCAAAGACTGTCATATCTCAAAAGTTCAAATATTTGAAACCGACATTATTTTGTCGATTTTGTCATTTACTGCAGCGTCGAGCTGTGTGGTTGTTTTAAATACGCAACATTGGCTTATAACACGATTTTTCGAGCTACCATTTGCCGTATGTACTAACATTGACTTTAACGCCGGATCGAATACGATATTTTGTTCAGGGTTTTCCAGCAATGACTTGACTGTGAAAGAATTCGAATTATTATTGGAGTCGAGATTGAATTTTAGCGACGCATTATTTAGAAAACTGAAGTCTTATTTAGTTACTTTTGATTTGTTAAAAAGCTGTTTTACGTTATGGCTCGAGTTTTATTATCCTTTATTGCATTTTACTTTCGATAAACAAGGTTTGCACATGGTTTCGAGTCACTATTATTACACAGACGAACTGCATTATCCATTTGGAGCTTTGCAATACTGGATTGATATAAACTACTTACCGAACTGCCCTCAAGTGTTACACTCAATGAAGAACCCTCTGTTGGTCAATAAATATTTCCAAGTAATTTCGCCAGTTGAGTCAAATGTCTCAATTGCACGCCCAGCGCAAAGTTTAGTGGGATACAATAAGTGGACTCCTTCGAACTTGCTGAAATTACTCACTTGGGCTGACGAAGAGAGTGAAGATGACCGCCAAACTGAATCTAAGCATGCAGATACCGAAAACACTTCGTTCTTTTTATTCAAGGAAAGCGGTTTTGATATAGCAGAGAACAGTAACGCAGAGCTCACGGAGGGAAATGATGTAACAAACAATTCACAGCATATGCGGCTTTTACGCGAAATCACCGGATTACTCGAGCAAAAGCAGTATGATCAAGTGTTCAAGGTACTTTCATCATGCACAATTCCAACGATTCATTTTTTCCTGTCTTACCCATTTAAGCTAGAGGAGATTTTGAGTTATTTTGAATTTTTTTTACAAACGTTGACTAAAGAAGAATCATTTATGTTTATCAACTGTTTGATAAAGCTTTTTATCAAATTGCATCAGAAGAAGTTGACTACAATTAAAGAAGACATAGCTGATGCTGCTCAGAAGTCGAGTTTCGTTCATACTTCCAGAGCTTTAGCTTACTACATTCACGCCTGTGTTGCAGAAGAATCTACAACTTTGAATAAATTCATTTATTTTATTAAGCAAACAACTGTCACAAATTATTGATTTACATACAATTTGAAAAATGCATATAATACAAGCACTTCAAATCTGCACAAATTTGACTTGGCCGTGAAGCATGTATTTTTTGGCGTGGTTATTCCACCGTTTAAATTTGGCATATCGCCAGCACTACAAGTTTTGGATTTGTGCCGAAGCTGGAACTGTGGGTGGCACCGTTGAATCAGCCGTGGGAAGTGGCATTTTTTGCTTGAGAGAAACGGATTTGTTAAAGGATTTAGAATTGTCGTCGTTTATTACCTCAGTTGTCTTTTCGAAGGTTTTTCTGGAGCCGTTGTTGTTAGCTTCGATTTTAACATCAGATGTTTCAAGAAGTACGCCTGAGGAAGATTTTCCTGCTTTAATGGGCTTGCTTCTGGTTTCTGAAACAATGCTGGTCAGATCTTTTTCAATCGATCGGCTGTCTACTATAGATGGCGTTGTTTTGGAAATGATGGGTCGATCGGATATAGACAGGTCGTCATATAGAACTTGGGATTTACCCATACAAAGTTTTTTGTACAAAAATAAGGCAACAGTAAAAATGAGCAGTATAGCGTCCGTGTAAAATAGAACCGGATGTTCGGTGTATGCTTCTTTGAAGCCGCTACGAATTTTGCCCATGAAACTGTTATCTTCTTTTGGAGGCACTTGTTTCAAGAGTTCTTCGATTTCACGTTTTTTTCTGTCTAGATTTCGCTCTTCCTCGGCGAAAATATCTTCCTGAATTTTTTTTTTAATTTTTTCCAGCTTTATTTGTTTGTCCAGGTTTTCCTTGTCTATTTTGTATTGAGCATAATTTTTTCTATAGTCGTTTAGGTCCTTTTGTAACTTAGTAATCTGGTCTCTCAACTGTTGTATGACGTCAGAGTCTTTTTCGGTACCATCGTTGACTACTTTTCTAGCATCGCCGGCTCTTCTTCTTATGTTTTCTGAGTTTTCATCTAAAGTTCTCGCATGTGGATGTTCGATAATATCTGTAGACCTACTTTCTTGGTATGAACTAACAGCCGAAACGCGCGCAGTATCTGAAAAAGCTTTGGTCGAAGAAATAATAGCAAGTGAACTCAATATCAGTCTGATGTTCATGATCGTCAAAATTTTCGAATCTACTTTTTATAAAAACCGATGAATAAATTCCAAAAACGTGCCTAAGCATGTAAATTTACGCATGTATAAAAAAATAACGACTGCGCTGCAAACGGAATAGTACATTGGCAACTCTTTTGATAAATCATCATTTAGCTGCCTTAGTAGGGGTAAGCATTATTCTCGTGGAAAATACCGCGTTTAAACTAGCTTCGTCAAGTGCTATACCTTCAGGCAGTTTTTCAACAGGCACATAGTTTTGCACTAAGATCGGATCATCTCTCTGTACGGGAGTTAGATCGGCATATTTTATGATATCTTGGTTTTCTGATTCTCTAAATAGCTCTCCACAAAAGTTTGTTGTAGTTTCTGTGTTTTTCAGTGCTGTAAGCTGGTCTGGCACTTTGAATTGCAAAAATCGTGCACCATCAGTATCTATTTTTTTCATTGGCTCTGACGTAGGAATAAACATTATTTTGAAATCATTTTTAAACTTTACTAATTCACTGCAAAGCGAATTTAGTGTCGAACTTATTTTTTGGTTCTGAAAGTATTTAGTGTCAACGAATATTTGTATTTCGCGTGGACCGGCTGTTGATACTTGAGCCAGCGACAATAGAGTAGACACAGTAAATAGTTTTCTCATATTGTTAAGTCGATCTTTTATTTGATAAATTTTACAGCACGAAATTAATTGCACCTTCACGAAACAGTTAACGGCTTATACTAAGAACAAACATACCTCTTATCAGTTAATGACTAATCTAAAAAGAAAATCTATGAGACCTAGATTTATGCGTATATTAGATTCAACTACACCACATTTTCTATGAGTTAAACTAAAATTTAGGTCATGCTGACAACAACCGAATTTTTAGGATTGGCACTTTTCTAAAACAATTTAATTGTAAATATTGTAATGACTTTACTTTCTTTTTTTATATTTTTTAACATTTTGCGTTGAAGTAATTTCATAGTTTTTAGTTCTTGAGATCTTCGATAATTTTCTTTTTTCTTTATTGGTCAAGTTTTGTCCGGTCGCTTTAAGTTTTTCAAGTTTCTTCTGTAATTCAAACTGGACTTCAGCGCCCGAAGTGTTCTTGCAAAGTCGTTTTTGATCGTGATTTCTGGATATTATTTTATGAACAGAATCTTTGTTATACAGTTCGCTCGAACCAACATTTTGTAACTTAACTGCGTTGCGTTTCGACCAAGAATTATATATAGATTTCTTTTGCAGTTCTTTAGTTTTGAACTTGTTTTTCTCTACATCAGTGCTAACCAAAGTTTTTTTATATTTTTTCTGTGACTTGTTCCATTTGATCTCATACCTATTCGCTAAATTAGATTGTTCAGATACATCGCCAAACATGTTCACAACTTGATGTTTTAGTTGGTCAATGGATTTAAAGTCATTATTCACGGCTGATTCAAAATCACCTCGGGGTTTAGATGTTGTAGGAACATATTTAAAGTCGGAAGAAGTTTCCTCTGGCTTTGTAAGACACTCTTGCCGCTTGACCTTTTTCTTATCGAATAACAACTTCATCGAAATAGGATTCAAAACCAATTTAGACTTTTGCTTGCACAACACGGAATAACCTTGTTTGGAAATCTGTTTAATTTGCGTCTCCAATATGTTCTTTTTATTTATGCTTGAAATGATATCTTTGTTTAAAATTTTAGATTTAGTAAGGTTATCTTTTAAAGATTCGCGAAATTCAGAGGCGTCGAAATCATTACTGGAAGTTGCAAATGCGGTGTTTTTTTGAAGCGTTTCCGGACATAATTTAACAAAAAGTGGATGGTAAATAATTTGAAACAAATTAGATAGAATTTTGTTTTTTTGAAGCGTCTTGACAGTGTTAATTGACAATTTACTGGCAGGCAGACGATGCTTGAAATATTGTTTTTCAGCATCAAGCATAACTTTTAATTGGCGATTAGTCTGCGCGTTTTTTTGAAAAATTTCAGAAATTTCATAATTGTAAAGATCTAGCAAGGCCTGGGGAACACATCCGTACAAAAGCTCACCAACCTTTTCTCTTTTGGATTTCGAGTCGAGTCCGGTATTGCTTGAAAAATTTACACTGTTTTTTTGACTATCTAAGTATTCTTCTTTGAAAAATTCAAAACCAAGTCCACAATAAACTGATAAATCAAACAAATAACACATATCTCCGTAATCTAATATACTAATAACCGTTCCAGTTTCATTTTTTCGAGCAGTTCTACCAGCTCTATGTATAAATAACCTTGGGGAAGAAGGCATTGAAAAATTAATGACATAAGCAATGTTCGGAATGTCAAGTCCACGTGCCACTAAATCCGTACCAACTAAAACTGAAATTTCTTTATTTCTAAAACTCTGTAAGTTTTCTGTTCGTTCTTTCTGTGTCAATGTTCCAGTTAACAAAATATTAGAAATCTTAAATTGACTTAACATCTCTCCTATAAATGTTACAGCGTGACTAGTACTACAAAAAACTATAGCTTGTTCTTTTGAAGAAAGTAAATGTTTTAACCAAATAGCCAAGCAAGTTATTTTGTTGCTTTCTGTTGTAAAAACAAAATTCATCGATAAATTAGGATTTAAACGTTTTGACTCATCTAATTGTACACAAATAGGGTCATCAAACTCCGTTTTTATAAACTCAAGTAGTTTCTGAGGTATCGTTGCGCTAACTAAAATGCGTTGTATTGAAAGACCTTTTAAAGATTTTGATAACTCGTTAAATTCATATTCTAAATTTAAATCGACTAATAAGTCAGCTTCGTCCAAAATTAAATACTCTAATCTGGAAAACTCAATTTTAGTATTCGTTATGTGATAATTTAATCTTCCCGGAGTTCCAATTACGATATCTGGATTTATAAGCAAATGTTCAAATTCTTTTGATAAACTCATACCACCAACTAAGTGACAAATCCGAAAATCAGATAAAAATGATATTAACTTTTTCAATACACCACTAACTTGCAACACTAATTCTCTTGTAGGACATATAATCAACGCTCTAATACCAACTATTGTAGAATGTGCTTCTAATTTATGCAGTATGGGTAACAAATAGGCCAATGTTTTTCCACTCCCGGTTCGAGCTGTAGCGATAATATTTTTATCTGAATTAAGAATAGCAGGAATTAGTTTACGCTGAATAGGCGAAGGTAATTCAATTCCGAACTTTTTGACAGCATGACATATATGAGAATTTAAACCTAATTTACCGAAAGGAGAATTTGAAGACATTGTGAGTAATAATTTTTTTTCCAAAAAAACATTTACTTCAGAGTTCTTATAATATTTTATCTCGACAAACTAAAAATGTCAGATAATTTAATTAACAGTTTTCAATTCGTAATTATTTTAATTCCATCGATTTCATTCTATTTATAATAACGTAATAGAAACAAACAATACTATCTCTTTGTTTATTCCGTTAGTTAAAATAATTAATTTAATTTTTTAAATGTTGTAATTAACGCTACTTACGAATTTAGCAATTCCCTTTTTTGATATTTTTATCGTAATTATTGCAAATCTGTTTTCATATATATATAAAGGAAGTATTGGATCAATTGTCGATTTTTTTTCAATGAAATTTCGAGAAGTTTGAGTACCTTCATTGTGCTGATAGTCACAAATTTCCAATGTTCCTGGGTCTTGCCATGCTTTTAAGCTTGTCCTTTGAGCTTGATAAGTAAGGTTTGAATAACATATTCTTGGAGTTGTTTGGGATCTAAGTTTCTTAGATGAAGGTAAACTGGGTTCAAAAGAAACATGGTTTTTTTCATTAGAAGTACACTTTTGAGGTGTCTTAAGATTTAAATTTATTTTATCATTTTCTTTCATTGACACTTGACTATTGTTAATGTCAGAGCTGTGCTTATGAATATTGACCGGTAAATCATATTCATTCTCTGTTAAACTTGAATTATTCCCAAGAGTATTTTGACTTTTTTCACTCGATTCGAAAATATTAAATTGTTCTAGACTATTTACTGGAGTTTCGTATATTAAGTTAGACTCTTGGAATGAAGAGTTTTGATAGATTTGAGGAGCAGTCTTTTTATAATCCTTTGTTCCTAACGCTAAATATGCTCGTTGTTTCAATACGTCTGCTAATTTATAATGAGATTTATTAGATAACAAATCCATAACAATTGTTTCGATATCATGGAATTTATTTACGGAGAATAGATCCTCATATTCTGATTTTGAAGCCTCGATAGTATTATTCATTAAACTGAAATCTTTTTTAGGCTCTATTATATTTTCCGTATTCAAGTTATCTTCACTGTTATCGATTGTGTTAGTTGAACTTGTTGTTTTATTAGCAGAGTTTTGTAAAAAATTAAAATTTTTTAATGTTGATTCTGCCAAAAAATCTGATTGGCTATTACCAATAATAGATTGTTGAAGATTTGAAAATATTTTTTCTTTGGAGTTAAATTGTTTTTTATTCACAATATACATGCGCCATGATCGTTGAATTAAAATGATATTATCTAAAAATCTCAAAAATTGAACTCTACATAACCCAGCGTTTCTCCACCATTTCTGTAATATAATTGCAGCTTTTGTATATTTGTTAGGCAAATAAACGTTGTAGTAATATTCAACACATTTGATCGCTCGCTGTTTGATTTTCTTTTTTCTAAAAAACTTAGCTAATAAATAACTAATTTTAATAGCAGACTTGAATTGAAAAAGCTTATACTTATTGAATTCAACTAATATGTTATTATAAAACAGTTGTAATTGTCCTGACAAAATAACTTTTTTCAATTCACTTTGAATAAGATTAAGATTACCATAATCTAGAAATAACATAGTTTTTCCAAATTTTACACTTGAATTTTTAATGTTTAAAAACTTGATCAATTGGTTTGCAAATTGCTTAGGTGTTAATACTTGTTTGTAAGACTGGGTTATTATTTTACTAAAAATTTCAGAGATTGCAGTGTACTTTATTCTGCAAGGATGATTCAATTGAATTATTTGCAACGCACATGTTATTCCTGCAGTTAATAATTGCTTTGATACAAGTTGTTCATCAAAAATTCCTGAGGATAAATCGCTGTTGGGCTTTATGCATTTGATAAAAAAACAATTTACACCGTTTAACGTGCTAATTAAATTTCTCATTTCTTTGTAAAAACCGCCAGAGATGCTTAATTTGCTTCTTGTTGAAATTGTTGGTTTGAATAAATTTTGGATAATCGTTATTTTTGATTTGGAAAGTAAATCACGTAAATCTGATGAGATATAATCTGTATTTTTTTGGATAAAGCCTGTGCAATCATAAATGACGTCTTCGGGATAGTGTTGAATAATAAACGAATTTTTATCGTTAGAACTAACAGTGTAATGCCTTTTTTTCTTTCTCGTTGAGCTGATTGGTGTTCCAGGTAAAGAACAATCATTTTCAATAGAATATGCACAGTGTTTTGTAATTTCCTTATTAACAAAGCTTAAAAATTGTTGATCAGATTGTTTTAATTGAGAGCAATCTTCTAAAATTTTTAATAACCCCATTTGATCATTATTTCCAATAAAAATTTCAAGCGACTTTTGACTGTTCAAATAGTTATTGATAGGTTCTCTAATAGCTTGATTAGCAATTTCTTCTTCAACTAGCAAATCGAGTTCTTTTGAGACAACACAATTAAGAAAGTGCCTATGTAACTCTTCATTAGCATAATTAATACAAAACTGTTCTAAACTATTGTGAACGTTTTCAAATCCGAATAAGTCTAATACGCCGATACATTTAGCATTTGTATGAAAATTTTGTGATCTTTGTTCAAATTTATTCTGCTTAATAATAGTAAGGATATTAGAATTCTCAGTGTTAGTGAATTCTTCATTCAAGCGTAAACGAATTATATTCACTAAATAGTTAAACAAACATTCATAAATTCCTTTACAAACGGACATAGCCATAATATGAGCTTCACTACAAGATAATTTTTTGCTTACGTCTCTTATTTTAACAGTGGTAAGGCAGTTGATAAACTGCATTAAGTGAAAAGGAATCCCCCATAATTCCATAGCTTTTTGTAATGGCGAGTCATCAATTAGCTTAGCATCGTTTCTGTTATCTATGTTCATAAATTGGATTTCTCCTAAATACAGTATTCCAAATAGTATTCGGAAAATAGGATCTACAATATCATCATTTAAACCAAACTTTTTAAATATATCTAACAATCGAGAAATATTAAAAGGATGAGATAGATCGGAGTATTGTAAACATTCCTGTTTACCTAATATTTTCCAATGTTTCCAATCATCATCGTCAATATAACGTTTTATGAAATCTTTTGGAGAATTTACAATAGAGTAAAATACATGGTAATTTTGTTCATTGTCAGGTAAATCGACAACTCTACTTTTTGCTAATAAATAAGTGTCAACATTAGCAGTCAATAAGCTTTTTCCGTCTTCTGAGTAATACAATGTAAAAAGCTTCCCAAATCTACTACTATTATTATTTCTCAACGTTTTCGCATTTCCAAAGTATTCAAGGAATGGATTACTTAGCAACAAATAGTTGTTAACTTTGCTATCAACAATATTATTTGGTAGTTTGGAATCATTTTTTTTTCTTTGTGTTACCCAAGTTAAATATTGCAATATAGATTTTGTACATTCTGTTTTACCACTTCCACTCTCGCCAGAAACTAATATAAATTGACTAATTTGTAAGGTTAAAAACAAGTTAAAAGCTTTGTTTGCGATAGAAAAAGGATGCGGTGCCGCAGTATATGTTTTATCGAGATAATATAACTCACATAAATCAGGTCTATACAAATTATCGAAGGTTTGACATGGATTAATGCTAATTAAAATTTGTCCTGCGTAAGTGTATATTTTAGATTGATTAGACACATTATTTTTATTGTTCGAAGCTTTTATAAATCTTTTCTTTAAATTATAAATTACATTCGGAAAGGATAAGAATGTTAATGAAGTACAATTATCATAATCTAGTTCATCATTCTCGATAATATCTGTCTCTGCTAATAATATTTGATTGGGATTTATATTTAGTAACTCATTTGTGTTAATATTTACTGCAATAACATTATCACTTTTTATTTTTTCAATTTTATATAACTCGAATTTGACATTCTTTCTATTTAAAAACCAGATCAAATTATTTTCATTGAAAGCTGACGTTTGATTTCTTTTGTTAAGTTGGTAATCTAACTCAAGAATCTGAGTATTATCAACAAGTACCATTCAAAATTGCATTTAATAAATATATGACATGATTTCTAAAAAAAATATTATGTTTTTCACAGGCAGTGAAATATTAATAATGTAATAAATATTGATAATAGAAAAAAATAAAAATATTGAGGTTTTCTCAATCTGTTTTTTTCAAACATACAATAATGTAAAAGAAAACAATAACTTTAATAATTTGATATTAGATGATTAGTTCAGTATAAATAGATTTAAGATTTACATGTTTTATAACTAGAATCATAACAAAAATTACTTAAATTTTACTCAAGAATCTACTATAGGAATATATTGAATGATGAATTCCTACATTACAGATAATTCTGATAACATCAAATTTTTTTTGTCTTATTTACCAAACGAGGAAATTTCTGTTGATCAATATATTAATACGTGCTTACAGAAAGATTGTGATGTATCGTATTTAATTTTTTTATCACTTGATCCATTACGTAAAGTTCATCCATTCTATTGCAAATCCATCACAGGTTTAGCTGAGAATTACGATTCATTTAACAACGAAAACATTGTTGATCAGAATGGTACAGCCAAACTGCTTGCTTATAAACATAATAATCAGACAGTATCAAACAATGAAAAGATTTATTGTAATTCGGTTGGTAAAAAAATCATATCGCATTCGATATCATTAAAAAATCAGAATTACACAAATTCTACTGAAATAAATAATCAGTCTATAAATAATATAGGTTCATCTTTTGAATCTTTAGAAGGTTTTATTAAAAGTAGGGAAAGAACATATGTTAACAAGCAAGTGTTATTAACCTATAAAAACAAAGCTTGTGATAATTCTATCTGTTTTGAGCCATCAGTATCTCTCTTTGAAGATGAAAAAGAATTGTGCGTTGCGCTTTTAAGCGCAATTAAGCTAATTAAAAAAATGGGCCCGGTAAACACAAAATTAATGCTACATAAGCAAAGCAGCATTAACAATCTTAAAGATATGATGTCAAATGTAGCAAGTTCAGCTCACAAAATTTTTTCTCAATTACCACCTAATATAGCGACTTATGATACAAATGGTTCATACATTCAAAAAACGGACAAAGAATCTGAGCAATTGAATGATGCTTATCAAACTCAAAAAAATCATTCCCAATTATTCGATTATTCTCATCATACATATTATCGTAATTTACAACAACCATGTAATAACTTAAAAATGGATCTTCATGATCAAAAAGAATGTGGAATGATCAAAAACCAAGATATGATTTATAATCAAAGTTATATTCCTGGTAGTGATGAATTATTGTATAACCATCAGACAGAGAATCAAAGTTTAGTTGATCAGTTTTCTAATAATTATAATAGTTCTTTATTATACATGATGCCAAATATAGCTGAGAACAATTCATGTGATAAAAATATTAGTTTAAATGGCTATTATGATAAAAACAATGTAATAGAAAGAAATATTCCAGTTTCATTTTCAGAGGGTCAAGAAGTAACCTATAATATTCCAGTAATGCAAATGCAAGCCTCGCAGTACAATTACCCCAGATATATGAACAATTCATTCCAACCAACTCAAAACAATTGGGGATATTATAATATGAACTATTCGAACTTTTGTAATTATCCTAATTCTTACCCAAACTACAACAGTTTTGGACAAAAGGCTGTAAACAGTGATATGTATATAGAAAAATCAAAACGAGGACCTGTTGTTGGAGATCGGCCATTGACCCCTCCAGCGCAAGGTTGGTACGCGAAGTATAGCAGTGGGGTAACGGGTGTTGTTTGGGATCGAGTCCATCAAGCGTGGGTTGTAAGTTGGACTTTAGCTGGGAAGCGTACTTTTCGCCATTTCACATGTAAGAGTTACGGTGGTTTTGACAAAGCGAGAGAAGCAGCAATTGAGTTTAGATTAGCAAGAAACAAAGAAATAGCAGCTTATAATAAGAAAAATAAAAATAGATAGCTTTATTTCAAGTGTAAAATATTTTACCGAAATCAGTGGACGTATCGTGTACTAATCCATGACAATTATAAAAAATTATTTGCATAATAATAACACTTGAATTATGCTAGCTGTTTTGAATAATCTTTAGTTCTTTTATAATTTTAAATATGAATCGTCAAAGAACGATTAAACAACATTAACAGAGTAAATTTCTATGTGTATATACATTTATATTTTAAACTCTGTATGTCTTGTAAAAATAAAACAAACTTGACGTTGATCTAGAGATTTACGTTTGCTCGATGCCTGTGTACTTAATTAAACACTAAAAAACATGTAATAAGTTTTTATAACTTTAGATATCTGTATTTTGCATGTGTGATAAAAAACAGTATAAAGAAGGAATCATTTGTACACTTTGTACATTTCTAAGTTTGCCTTTCTTACTCGCTAGTTGTACAGTTCTGGATACTTTGTTACTCGACTCAGATGAAATCTTTTTTAAAAATAATGTGTCAAAAAAGGAAATTGGTAATTTTGAGCTTATAAACGGCGTGGTCGTTGAGCCAGAAAAAATAGATGACCCAGATGTGTATATTTCTCCATATGGAGTCTTAGAAAAAAAAAATAAAATATATGAAAAAAACGAGCACGGCTACGGTAAGAAACTGCCTGCTCATCCATCTATCCCAATAAATGAAGCAGGAAACGTAGATTTTTCGCGATGGGCGCCGAAATTTTATAGTGTAAATTTGCGCAGGCATAAAAGAAGTTCTTTACCGTTTTTAAGACCAGTAAATCATTGAATATGCTAAAGTAAAAGCTTACGCTTTATCACGACTATGAACTGTTTTGAGTTGCTGAAGCTTGTCGAGAATATCGATAAGATCTAATTTTTCATTGTGCAACTCAAAAAGCTTGTCTCGGTCGATTTTTAACCGGTCATCAAAGTCGATTTGATTGAAAAACGATAAAATAACTTCCGAAAAGACTGGTTTTGTGGAGTTTTTGCTGAGCTTGATGGCTTGATGCAAGTTGTAAGCGGCTCTAGTACACTGGTTTTTTTCTGTGTCGTAAATATGAGGTAAATATTTGAGATATCTTCTTAAAACTTTAGACAATAGTATATCAACAGTTGTATATTCAATAATGTTCATGTTTCTACGTTTAGTTGGAAAAATCTTTTGGTACAAGGCAGTGAACGCTGTAATGCTGGTAGTGAATATCTTGAGTAGCTCTTCAGAATCACTCATATTTTCCATAATGGCGACCAGATGTGCTTTAAACAGATTTTCGTCAAGTTCAGTCACGTCTTGCGAAAGTACATTGATTTGTTCAATGAGTTGCGATAACGCTGCTTTTGCTTTGGTTGTTTCGCTAACAATATTTAAAACGTCAAGCTTAGTATCTTTAACCAGCGCGTTTCCAATCTGGTTTGTCAGTATATTGTCAGAATGGTTTAAAACCTCATTTCCTAATTGTTTTAAAAACCAACTGATGTGAGCTCTGGCAAAATAAGGAATTAATGCTATTAATAGAAGGTTGCTTTTTTTTATGATCAGAAAAAGTAGCATCGCTAAAAATTAATAATCATCCTAAAAAATTTAAAATTCTTTTAATAGATCATTATATTAAGCGAGTGTTTATTCATATCAAAAGTTGTTTTGATCATTGGTGCGTATGAATTTTGATTGTTGTTTGTAATAAACCAAGCGATAAGCAGTTCCTGTGTTAACTACAACACTCTAGGTCCTGATTTTTGAACTTGCTAGCTCCTGCGACGTATAAAGCCTCTATAAAAAATATAATTTCATAAACTTACGTAGCACAGCATTTTTAGTGCCAGGAGGCAATTTTAGATTTTCTGATTCTTCGGGAGCTAACAGATTTTTCAAAGTGTTTGTTAGCTGAAACAGCTTATAATTTTTTTCATCTGAAGGTAGCTCCATTTGCTTCGATTCGCTAACTTTTGTTTTGTCATGCGAGACTTCGTTCGTTTGATCAGTTTTTTTGTCAATATTTCTTAGCGTATCTTTACTTTGATTTTTCGATGCCTCTTGGTTCTTATCGTTTGGTGAATGTTCAGAATTCTTTTTTAACGTTTCTTTGTTTTTATCTCGCGAAAAATCATTATTTTTATTTTTTGCTTTATCTTCGATTTCGTGTTTCTGAGTAAAAAGTTTGTTAGTGACCTTCTGACTATTAATAGTTATATCCGGTACTACATCGCGTTTTTTAGATACTATTATAACGTCATAAATACTTTTTTTACCCTTAAATTCGTCGTCATCGTCCTCATTCTCTTCTTCCTGTTCCGTATTATCAGAATAATCATGATTTAGGATGTGATTCGTTTGTTTTTTTTCATCATTGGTATTTTGATCTATGGTTCCGCGATAGTTATTTGAAGTTTGTGACTTGGATTCATTTTTCTTATTCTTATGTGGCAACAAAGATTTTTTATCTGGTTTTAAAGAAAACGCAGAGTTTTTTTCTTCCTGGTTTTCTTTTTTTGGTAACTCAGATAAATTTCCAAAATGACCGTTCAAACCTGTTGTAAGGCGTAAAATCTGTTGTGTAAGAAAAAAAAAAACTATATCTCTCGCATGTCTGCACTTAAAACAAAGCATAATTTCTATGTTAGAAGGCGTCCTAACCGTGAAGCAATTGTTACACCTAGGCCTAACCGGCAATTTGAGAGATGCTAATGAGAGAGAGTGTTTATCTGATTCATTCAAAATAACTTGCAGTTCAGTACTGTCAATGTGTAATATACTTATTAATCCTGCGTCTCGGTTTACTTCATCACTGCGTATACTAAACTATAGTGTCTTATTGAAACTCACAAAACAGGGCTGACGAGTTCATTGATATTTTTCAGCAAATGAAAATCCTTTTGCTGGCAATTTAAATGGCTTATATTAAACAATTTACTCAAACCAATTTTTACTACCAATAAAAGCTGTATTAATTGTTTGTTCATTAGTGATCATTTAGAATGATCCGCTAAAATTAGAAGCGAATAAAAGGTCGAATATTTTCAATTTAATTAAAAATATTATTATAAATTATCGGAAAAAGATTTATAAAGGGGCACTTTACATAATTTTATGAGTTCGGAAAACAAATTGGTAGACACAAAAGAAGCTTTGGACACGGAGTTAGTGAAAAAGTAAGTTAGACGGCTTTTTTAAAGATAAGAGCGTGCTGTGGTCGTAACAGACAATAAATATACATTTTAGATTCGCTGCTAAAGGATTTGAAATTCCAGATCAGAGACCTCATATTAGTCTGGTTTTCATAGGTCACGTAGACGCAGGAAAATCAACGACTTGTGGCAATATTCTTGTTAATACGGGACAAGTTGATCAGCGCACCTTAAAGCGTTTGGAAAAAGAAGCTATCGACAACAATCGAGAAAGTTGGTACTATGCATATATTTTAGATATAAATGAAGAAGAGAGACAAAAGGGCAAAACGACAGAAGTAGGTAGAGCTACGTTTGAGTTGCCCTCGCGGAGATTTACAATTCTTGATGCA